ACTTCACATCTTCCAAAAGGTTACTCTCAAATCACAAGGTTAAAATCTCTTAAAGGAACTTTGCGGAATTTTTAGAATGGAGAAGACTCAAACCATTCCTTTACATACAAAGTCAGATGGCATGGTGGAGAGATTCAATCAAACAATCTTAGCCCATCTCTCTCTATATGTATCCCAAAGGCAGCAGGACTGGAACCAAAAACTGTCATAGTGTACAGGAGTGCCTTTCATAAAAGCACTGGATTTCCTCCACTGCAAATGGGCTTTAGACCATGAGACTTACTCTTTACATAACTGCCAGACATACTTTCTTTGTCTGAGCAGTATCTGGAAGATCTGCAGGCACATTTATAGGATGTTCACTGGTTCACCAGAGGAAACATTGACATAGCCGCTGAGAGGATGAAGATGAGACGTGATACCATACTGACAATGTGAAAATTCAAGAAAGAACATTCAAGTCTGTCTCCACAACCTGAAGTATGGCTTTGTGAGTTCTCCCAAGCTACAGGCATCCTAGGAAGGGCCCCCAAGATGTCTATAGTTTGGAAATTCTTTTGAAAACTAAGGTCTGTTGCCATCTACTTGATGTCAACTGGATAATTCAAATATAACCAAAAAAGAAATAATACATTTTCAAAAACTGTGACTTAACAGTTTTTTTTAAATACCCCATTTTCCAATCTTAAGAAGTATTATGATGCAATAATGTATTAATAATTTAAAGTCGAATAAAATTTTGGAGGCTTCGATTCAGGCATGTGGCATTTTTAACATTTCATTTGAGCAAAAAGAAAATATTGTTTATTTAAACAATAATAAACAACTGTTATTTTACACAGATTTTAATCACCACTTACGAACTGAAGATTCTACTTTTAAAATAACCATACTGCAAATTTTTTTATTCTCCTCAAATATTTTTATATTAAAATAAAAGAAACTATAGTTTGGGTGATGTGAAGGCTACTTTATTCAATCAAGGCGATGGAACTTCCATATTATGCATATGATAAAAATATCAAATTTTGTGTTTGAGATTGGGCAAAATAACTTTGATCTTCTGTCTTTATGCACAAAAAATATAAAAATTTGCTTTTTTTGATTCAATGTATTTAATGAATAAAAATTTAGTTTATGTAAATAATGAAATACACTTGTAAATACGAAGTAAAAAAGTACTACATAAATAAATGGTATTGATATGAATGGATTAAACTATGGTTATGTGTAATTCTACTTTCTGAAATCTGTTTGATCGATTCCCCTTTGCTTTCGGTTCCTTCATAACAGCTCCCTGTGACTGTTTTTCTCGATTTCTTTCTCGTGAATGCAATGTCTGTTAACTTGTACATTAATCTTTTAAAAAATTACATTTACAACTACACACAGACTCTTAAAGAATAGATTATGATATTTCTAACATTTACAGCTTTGAAAACTTTCTCGAATTGGTAATATGATTGATATTTTACAATGAACAGTTAAAAAAATAATCGATATAACATTTATTACAGTAAATAAATTTCTAAGGGGCTAGCTGAAATTTATATCTAATAATCTACATATTACAGCCATGTTTCTGTTTCAATAATGTATGATGAATTCTATTAACATAAAATCTATTTTGTAGAAATGTGCACTTAGTGCATGACATATAACATAATTCATGAAATGTACTGACAACTTTATCATACTAAAGCTCAATAAGTTATATTAATGTATTATATAGATTGGCAGCATTTATGACAGGTTATTAAATATTTTATTATAAAATTATCAAAAAATAATAGAACATTCATATATTTTGCAGACATATTTTTTCTGGGGATATATTTTTTGAGGTATTCTTCCAAGATAACTTTTGAGGGACTCTTTTTCCCAACAACATGCGTAATAACGCCACACATTTTCTTGATGATTTTTTTGAAATAATTATAGATGCCCATTTATTCACATTTTCAATCATTCGAGGTAATCCTACATTACCTGGGATAGTTGATATTCTACTCTACATAACTAAAATCTGATTAAACAAAACTTAATTATTGCAAAACCTATATAAAATATTTATTGGGGCAAACAATAACGTGAATTAATTAATTCAGATTTAAATAATTTCCCCTTTGCAATTCATAGCTTAGCATTGTTTTACGTTAATTCAGCCAATGTAAGTATTTCTTTTGTTTTATCATTATCATCCTGTTCTTATAAGGGAAGAATTTAATTTATTTTCAAATGTCTGTTCTAGAAGTCAAAGTTGTTTGCAAATAAGTACAATGCATAATGTAGTAAATTAGCTAAGTATACAGTTTAAATATACATGTTTGACATGTTTATTGTTTCCAAAATCATTATAATCTCATATCATGTTTAAAAACCTATGCTTAAAAATTAGACTAGAATTCAGTACATGAAGGCTATCTGTCTGAAGGGAAGGAAGCCCTCGTGGAGGACTTTCTACAAGAAACAGGTTCGCATTCAAGTTACACACGTGGAAAATCAACCATGGAGCCAACCTGCTAGCCTGGGATTGAACCCTGTTCAAATTCTCAATAATCAGCAACCTTAACACCCAGCCACTAGTGGGTCTCCTGCTTACAACAAACAAACAGAGTATTTACAAGTTAGAATGATTGGCAAAATGTCTGATTAAACAAAATTCAAGGCAAAATAAGACTAATGCCAGAATAAAAATAGAAATGCTTCAAAAAATGTGCAGGATGATTTTAGAGGTAAAACCTATTTTTCCGGTTTCCCAGGAGAACTCACAATGAAGTTTCTTAAGAAAAGTTTTTTCTTTTAGTGGGATAGTGGCTGTGACCTGTACATCGGGTACTTACAAATCTATAATACATGTGCAGATATAAACAGAGAGAAGTAACTAATAAAGTATTTGGATGACATAATCTCATCATTCAGATCTTTAAAAGTGTTCAAACAGTACTGCTGAATTACTGTATTTTTAAATTCTTTCCATTTTAACTCAACATGAATATTTTTATTCTGATTAGTCTCATCTGTCTCTTGTTTGTATATTACATCTAGTTGTCTCCTGTAGACATTTCAGTCTAATTATTTTGAGATTCAAATACGATCTGCCATTTAATTTAATACTATTTTGCTTTAGGTTTGAGCCATTTTAAAATAATTAAATAATTTATTCTGATTAAAAAAAAATTCTGTTTAATTTTTATTAAATCTTTATATCCAACACTATGCATAAAAAGTGCTCGGTAGTCTTAAAGCTAACAAAATTGATTTCAGATATATTAAAAATAAATTAAATTACAAATTCCTTAGCTGACATCTTTCAGCTTACTGAATACTTCCCATTTAAATATAGATGGATTTGAGCGACTGTTTGCAATTAACAAAGTAAAAAATGTGGTTTGGGCCCCTAACAGGAAAGAAGTGGTTTACATCTGGAGGAAACTAGTATTTGACAATCAGTAGATAACATACGTCTATATATATCTAAACTGGTTATTGCACACTTTCAGAGAAGTCCCTATGAGATAATTCATTCTGTGTTAAGAAATGACAAAAACTTGTTCAAATAAAAGAAATCTAAAAATTAAATGCTTACTACAGGAAACAATCTGATGCAGAAACTACACAACTTCCTTGTATGGCCTATTAAATTATACACACTTCTTGTTGCCCTTCATTTAAACTTTATCTCTTAGAATTATTTTAACTTGAATAACCTAACCCTAAAGGCATGTTGAAATTGACATAAAAAATTGCAAATTTTGAAATTAAATATCCCTGCTAATTTTTATTGTATGGAAGTCAAATTTCTTATAATTTTATCTTTTCATAATAAATGCAAAACTTTCCCAACTACAAGTACAGAAACCAGGAGACCACATTAAAAATTGGATTTTGTTATTTGTCAAAAGTAAATTAAACAAAAATTTGACATTCCCAAAACATTAATATCTTTGTCATTTAAAACACTTCTATAATTAATTGAGTGTAAAGGCTGGGTAAGGACTTTTAAGATGGATAAGGGAGTGGTATATATACATATATATGTTTGGTATTGCCAATTGCAATAAAAAAGGGAGGGGCACAACTAGATGTTACAGCTGCCCATATACATAATCTCAACATTCTACAGCGAATCGTTTTTGAGTTATGCAAGATACATACATACACATGTACAGACATGCCCCCACATCCCATTTGAATCCATTTTAAAAATCTGTTTTGGAGAAAAGAGTCCTTTATTCTGCGCATACGTACAGATGTCATGCAAAAAAAAAAAAGTCCAAATGAATTCAGGAATGGCCAAAATGGTTATTTCTATTGATAACTTACATTTTACGCTACTTCCTTTACTTTGTTCAAGGAAGTAATCACAATTATCTAAATGGGAAAGCCTAAACACAGTGAAGCTCTTCCAAGGCGACCATTTACAGTTCTAAATGATTACTCTTTTATGAAGCAAGTTGCCTTAGAAAGATGAGATATAATACCCAAATTTCACAGCTACACTGGTCACTTTTAGAAGTGGTCATCTACGAAAGATGGTTCACCGTATGATATAAATGTTCAGAATGAATGCAGAGCAAGTCTAACTGATAAGCAAGGTTGGGTTGAATTGTATTTTGGAAAAGCATGCAAGGGCTAGCTGCCTACGAGAGAGTGTAACTTTATCCCTTTGCCTAATAGTGTTACCATCTGCTTGTTCTTCTGAAATGCTATGACCTATCTCATGATGATTAACTATTAGAAAGAAAAATGGCTCAAACCATAAAACCTTGCCATTCTGAGGGCAAAAACCAGCTTTAGAAGGTTCCAACATCAAACACAGATTAGTGGATGAAAGCAATAATGTGGGTTATAACAAATTCTGCATATGCTTATATGTACCTTCTTTTTTTAAAAAAATTTATTTTAGTGTATACAACCATGATTAGAAAAATATTTAGTGACAGTACTTACTCCTTAAAAATACATACTATGTCTGTAAAGTTTCTACTAAATATTACCTTCACAAACTGCTTTAAACTCCTTTTATACTTATATAGGCCTAGAAGACAACAGTTCACCAGTGTTTAAACGTCTTCTCGGTAACTCTCCAAACATTTCAGTACCATCAGTTACACTACAAGCAATAGCACGCATGCTTGCAGCGATCTGTTCTGGATCTTTGATAGGCGACATCTAATTTTCATATGAAAAAATAAAAATTATTAGATATAATACATTTATAAAAAAATATATTTTACATATTCTATTATACTATACCCTCAAACCTGTTTTTGCACGTTCATTTTTTGTGTGGTACTAGTAGTTATATTATCAGAGTGCTACCACACAAAAGCAGGTTTGAGGTACCAATAAATTTTGAGTAAAATCTCTGTCACTTTCTTGAGAACCACCATCTTAATATAAATAATAGAAATGAAGCCTATTTGTGATGTTTCAGCAAATGACAGGAAATTTCTCAAACCTGACTAGGATATTTTCATGGATGCAGAAAAGGGCAGCATTATACCACCATTCTGAAACTTCCTTCCTCAACTACATTAGCCAGGCATAAAGAAACAAAAAAAATATATTTCTCTTTTTGACGACTTAATTCTCGGGGAAAAAATTTTGCCCTTATATCTCATATATGAGACAGCACAGCAGACACATTCTGAATAACTCAATGAAATAAATGCAATCATTCTTGCATTTATTATTAGTTACTAATGCCAACATTATAACTTCTAAAAATAAAGTCTGTGATGATAAGTAAATTTAAAAAAAAAATTAGAAAACACCAATCCAATGATAAAGATAGCAGTAGTGGAGCAACCTGAAATTAACTTCAATCATTAAATCCTGCTCTAATAAAGCCCTTGTGTATAAAAATGGTTTAACATTGATTAAAAAAATATTAAATGTATTTTATTAATTAATACATATTTACAGACAAAAAATTTTGCAAGCAGAACTGTTCCTGGAGACTAGAAACATTTTACTCCATTTCAAATACATAATAAGAGTAAATTGAAAGTGAAGGACAAGAGTATTTCATACATTCTTTTAAAATTATCAAAGGTGTAGAGTCAGTTTTGAAAATGCTTATTATTTTGTGCTGGTAACACATTTTAAAGTACCTTGCTTCATAAATTTATCAAATGTACAGTAACTGCTATAAAATTTGTTTTCAGGTACATTTTGATAAGCTCTCTAATAAGAAAATCAAGAAAACAATAATGTACTTCAATGGCTATTAAGAATTCATGTATTTCACTTAAAAACATCACAGGGATTGTGGCAATTTCAATGAATCGTGATGTGAAAAACATAAAACATCAATAACACTAGAATTATCAGCAATAAATATACAATTAGTTTCATATTGAAAATTTGTTTGCTGATAGTCATGTAGTTCTCATCTCAATAAAATCCTGCAACAATTACAAGAGCTATAAAGATCATAATTTTAGTATATGCATCATATGGACACAGTTTCAGGAATTAATTGCTCGATATAAGGTTAAGCCATGATATATGATGGTAAACATCTGAAGTGCAGTAAGAAATTAGCAGAAAAACACTTATATTTACCTTATCATCCTCATCATCAATGACAGAAAAGTGAGAATAGTTTGAAAAAGCTGGAATGGACATAGGAAGTGAAGTAGCACACATTAATGGTTCTTTAGGTTTCCCTTCATCAACATACTCAGAGGCATTATTTTCCCATTCTAAAACAAATGTTACAGAAGAACATTACAACACTTTTCTTAATTAAATTGTTAAGTTTACAAGTAACATAAAATTTTTAATTTCCTTTCTAGGGGGGAGGGATATGTTACACACTAAAAGTTATCTTTGATATGTTTGCTTCCTTGACAGAATATCTAGCCTGATATTGAGAAGTAATGCAATAATAAGAAGAATCACTCATGTTGGTGACCATGCAAAATATTTAGGCCGCTTCTTAATGTCATTCTCTGATAAATATTGATACTTTCCCCATGTTGCAGAAGCTGTCAATAGATGCCAAATGGCAAGTAATAATGAGAGAAGATGTAATACTGTATTGGTGTGCAAGACAAAAAAGGGGGCACGCAATTCCATTTGCCTTAGGTGCCAAAATTTGATAGCATGGCTCTAGTACCTATGCACACCAAATTTTCTGCAGAACAAACAATTTTAGTTTTAATTTCTTTATGAATTATATTACGGTCATGAGGTATTTGTTTACTTATTTCCTATTTAATATATCTCCACACAATGCAGAAATCTAAAAATGAAAAGCTCAGCCATATCATACAACATAAAATATGAGACTAAAGTTCGTACATCAAAAATGGACTCTGCTGAAGTCTGCATCATAAAATTATATTTACAGTAAAAGCCCAACTATCCAGTATTGGTATTTTAAAATGTTCAAAAAATTTCATAAATGAGAGATTTGTAATGCATTTGTACAGCTTGTAATATTATTAATGCATATACATTGCCACAGAATACTGTGAGGTCAGGCCACAATTGTAAGTTCATTTTGATTTAACATAAATTCAACTAATTATCAATCAGTTTCATTTCTTTTAAGAAAGGATATAAACTGTGTCTTTTCTCAGTGTTTGGAAAAATGATTACTAATTGGAACTGCAAGAAGGGGACTATTTTCAAAGTTACACAATCCAGACATAAAGAAATGCACAATATGCGACTTATGTTCATTTAAACTTCTGCCAGAATGACTGGTGACATCTCCAACTTTCATCTTCAGTGGGATTATAACTGGATAAGGCCTACAAAGTAGTCAGCTTCTAAAACAATAAAATGCATTCTCTCCCCCCAAATCTTAATTTTAAATGTAGGCTTTTGATGTTAAGTTGACACCAAATAATGATTGTTTTAATAATTTTAGAGCAGAAAATTTTCCTATTAATTTCGCTTTTCTAATGTGAATTCCATTTCTTATATGCTCAACTATCCAGAGTTTTCAGACCTTCCTAAATATTCAAGCTTTTACTGTATGTACAATTAAGTTTTTTGAGTTCACAATAGGCCCTGTTAACCTTCAGTAAATATGTTTCCCTCACAAAGCTGGATATGCTATTTCATCTTGAAGACAGATTTTAAATGATCATAAAGAATACATCTATATTCAAAAATAACTCATAAATTTAAAGTACATAACAATTTAGAATTTTATTCTAATAGTAATTGTTACTTTAAATTTGAAAATAGCCAAAATTATCTTAATATACCATACATACAGCCTTTGCTTATTAATTTTATAATGCATACTAATTTAAACTTATCTTTTAAAAAGCATGGATTAAATTACTTAATTGCGGCAAAGCACATACAGGAACCTGCATATATACTAAGTAATGTCTTTGAGAAAGATAGTTTTTAAAAGAACATGCTGTAAACAAATTTGGTTGGAACTATAAAACTCCATGTTTTTGAAGCTTTAGCAATTTGGCTACAGGTGTGATTCCATAATTTCCACATTTCAGTCCTCCATATGCAAGAGATTAAAAGCTTTAGACATATAGTAACAGATTAAGTGTCATGTGGATCACCAGATGTAAACCTTCCATTCAAGCTACACTGTGTGTTGTTGATTGATGCAGCCTGAACATAACACCTTGATAATGCAATTTTAGTTCAAACAATACTTAAAAAGTTATATGAGAAAATTATGAAGAAAGAAGATGGAATTATAACTAAATTAAGTTTAAAAAATATTAACAAATATAATACAATGGAGTAGCAGAAGAGTCATTTTAACACAAATGTGCTGGCATTGCTAGAATGAATTACTTTCCTAACACAATATTTAGCATTTACATTTTTAATGTTTTAAGCAAAATTATGACTTCAAACACACACAAACTAATTTATTTTGGTACATGTCAGTTTTGCCTGTGATCCAAGTGCAAATTGAGGTGCCATAACTCGCACAAAAATCAACAAAATTGTGCTTTTAAATAAGGAAATTTTAGCAGAGTGGTAAAACGCAAGGCCAAATCTGAGAGTGCAAGTTCGAATCATGGAGATACCTTTATTTTCTTCTCTCTTCTTAAAGAGTAAAATTATACACTCTGTTTACCTGAAATTGCAGATTTGGCACTTTTTTCAATTTTACCGTTTTCTCAAACTCGCTGTTCCAAGCCTTCACTTTGCACTTAAGTATCTTAGCTTCATTTCAATATGTTTTCATACATTATGTGCATACATATGGAATATCATGAAATGCCAGATTTAAAGACTTTGTGCACCCAGCATTTCAAACTATAAACAGAAATGAGAAGGAAATGAAACTCTTTTTAAAAAATACACTTAAAGGCCTCTATTTTTTAGGTAATTTTTCACATTTCACCTCCATATGGTTGTATGCAAAGTTATATACAACTATGCTTGTTCTTGCACATTCTGGAGGAAGATAAAATAATCCTTTCTAGGAAGAGTTGTTAACATGGTGTTAAACTGAAAACTGTCATCATTTTTAATCCATAGGGGAGAGGCAGAATTCACAATTCTTATTACTTGAGTCTGGGTTCCCTACATAGTTTGGGAATAAACATTGCCACACTTGGCGATTAATTGTTAATTCCTGGAAAAACCAACAAATAACTACTTCTTTATCATGATAATTCATAACATTTTAGGTAAGCAACAACTAAATATTTTTTAAATAACTGTCGACTATGCCTGACCGTAGTAATCACTTTGAAGTTATTTCTCTTTGCTAGGATTAGATGAACACACATGTTCTCATTTTTTAAAAATCTAATAAAGGTTTTTATGCTACCAGAATCAAACGTCTACTTAATTTTATACCTAAAATTGCTTTTTTTTTTTTTTTTTTTTTTTTTTTTTTTTTGTTGATTATGAGCTTTACACCTAATTTATATTTCATTCCTTTAACATTTTAAAAAAATTACCTTGAACAGGGTACATAAGTATTAAACAATTCTGGGCAATAAAAATTAACTTCTTTATCTACCAAAATTTTTAACTCAGGACAAAGAATATGTCACAAACCATCTGAATCATCATCTGATTGACCAGAAAGAGATTCCTTAACATCAAATTCTTCCATATCAAACACACCTAAAATTCCAAAGATAAAAAAATTAAAATATGCAATTTTATTTTCATTTATTCATGAATAACAAGATTCATTCACGATCTGACATTAATAATAAATAATGAGAAGAAATGAGTTGAATTACTCAGGTTAAACAGTATGATTATCTTTGCAAAATTAAACCTATTATATTCATAAGTACAGAAACTTTGCTATTTCCTTCTGCTTTTGTAATTACAACATGAAATAAAAAAAAGTCAACAAAATTTTAAAAATACTAAAACAGAAAAATTAAACAACAATCAAGTAATTTCTTTTGTTAATTTAGTGGCAATATCATTAACCATTTGTGGTGCATTATACTTTAAAATCGGAATTTCAACCGAAAAAAAAAAGTTTTATGCAGTCTATCTAGGCCTAAATGAGTATACAGGTAAAAATTTTGCATAAATTGCACTTGTCGTTTTAATTCTGTGGGTGTTCCATGAGGTGGAACACTGCGCCGCCAGAGATTTGAAAAGTGCAACTAAGTGAGCATTGCAGTGAAGCACGGAAATGAGGAGGAGCGTTCTTATAGTAAAGAAAAAACATATACACAACATTCTTGAATAAATACGGATAAATAAGATAAATATATGTATATACGCAAGTTCTATATACAAAAATATTTACAAATTTTCTGACTTCTTAGCTTTGTGAAACTGTTCAAAGCATGTCGCACCTTTTTGATAGAAGCACAAACCAACTTTGCAGGTTTTGAACACAGAACGTGTTTTGTGCAGCTTCTTTTCCATGCAACAATATGTTTAGAATTCCAAGTAATAACTCGAGGCTGCGTAGAGGGGCCTGGGTAAGCTGGATCATCAACCTTCTCATCAAATAGATGAGTTTCATCCAACATATCACAATAGGATTACACAAGTGGTTCAGGAGCATATATCTCAGTATTGCTGCTATCTTCATGATCTGGTTCAGAATAAGAGGGTAATTCATGAAGCACTTTTAGCGCTTTGGAAAGACTTAGACCTCTCCGTGTTATTTATGGAAAATTAATAATAAAAAATTAACTACAATTAATACTAACAGTAAAGAATATCTACACAATTATTGAAAATAAGTGAAATGAGACTAAAAAGCGACAGAAAAAAATTCACACAGCTCTAAGTAAAGATGTCTCGAGCTACTGATAAAAATCCCGCCTGAAAATTACTCACAAAAATTTCAAGATGACCATATTAGAGATTTCATAGCACAAACCAACCCTCAAGACAGCTTTGTTTCAATTCATTCCCCCAAAACAATGGAAATAGAAAACATATACTACAGATGTTTTCTCCTAAGACAGATGTTGTGATGTGTAATAGCACGAGATCGCTAAAGGCGCAGTATTCCCGCTAATGGAACACCCCATTTTATTCAATGATTCTGCCTATGCTTTTTGTATGAAAAATGTAAAAAAAATATACAACAAATAACATAGAAGACAGCCATCAAAATTATACAGAAATTGTTTTTCAAACAAATTTTTTTTGTATCGCCAAAAAAATGTAGAAAATTATCAGAAAATAAGTGGATTTTAATAACACATCATAAATGAAAATTCTGGGTCTCCTTGTGCAGGGTTCATAGCCACATTTTAGTTAAAAAAATAAGCACATGTCTAATTACATCATACACAACTGCATAACCTTAAAAATTAGACTTGTAATTTAAAATATGAGAAATGATTAAGAGAGAATAAGCATTACCTCAACCATGGAAAATAATTACTTTTTTTTTGTTTTTAATTTTAAATAATAGTTCAATTTACAGAACTAGTTTACAATGAGAGGAAAAAAAAACTATGAAGAACTAAACTATATTACAAGATTTACAAGATTTAATGATGAAATTTCAGTTAAAAATAGAGAAAATAAATAATAATAAGGCATATTTATTGTATTCGCTTGGAACCTAATAATAAATACAATTTATTTTTCCACTCATATTGATATTTAAATAATTTAAATCTAATTTCTAAACATTTTCTAAACTTTCATTGTATATCAGTTTTCTCTTAGCAGATATTGCAAGCAAAGTAATTTAAGTAAAAAAGAGGAACATTTCTGAAATCAGAAGACAGAAAATTTGCTTCATGCAGTCATCTTTAAGCTTAACTGACCCGCCTACTTTCAAATTGGCGAATATTCGGACAGTCGGGCGTAACTTGAAGGAGCGGATGGGGGGGGGGAGACTGTAGCCGCTCTTTAGATTTTTCCGCTAAATAAATGCTTTTGACAATTCAATATGAGCATCATATAAAATAAACCAATGGAACTAAAAAATATTCTGCTTAGCAAGCACAGTAAAACTCTTTCAAGTGTTCATAAACAAATCTCGGACTGAACATCAAAATTAATTATCTCTGCAAAATATCGCAAACGTTATTGCGCAATAAGTGCGCCGTAATTCTTCCCTACGTGATATTATGCAATCGGAATTAACAACTGCCGATAGTGGGAGAATAAAGAACGAAATAACTGGGGTGTTTTTCATTCTAATTTTCAACAGACGGCGTTAAATTTCCGGAATAGAATCATTCTTCGCTTGGGTTGGTAGACCGCAGAACTTTTAGTCCTATTCAATCCAGGACGGTTATTCTACGCTACGAGAGTCGACAGCAAGTTGTGGGCCGCCAAATGTCACTGCTAGTGAAAAACAGGTCTACCCGACATCCTATATTCTCTGAGTACGGAAGTTGTAGAAAGCGCGCAAAAAAGTGTTGCCGCGTCGTCAATCAGGGTTGTGCAGTTGACGTACTAAGTAGATAATATATGTATATGTTTTCGCCGCTGATTTTTTTCATATTTAAACGAAGAATACGGTTGTAGATCTCTGAATCGGTGGCGAATTTATACAAAATATGTTGATGCTTTTGCTCTGCCAGATGTTATCATTGCGTATTTCAGATTGCCAAAATTTACGGTTATTTTAATTTGCAATGAACTGATAAAAGTATTTGGAGCCACATTCAGAAAACAAGAACACAGTTTCTACTGAAAGAAAGGTTATTTATACTATTCCTGAAATTATAGATATAAATGTTAATTATATGCTTTAAAAATGTAGAAGATAACAGGTTTATTAAGCACATATAGACATCCAATAAGCTTCTACTCGATTTATGCACAGCAAGAATTACGTTTATTTTAAAATCTAACAGTTGAATACCTTACGAACAATACTGTACACAAAAAGAAATGTCGTTCATTATTACGCGAAATTCACACTACTGTAAAATAAAAATTTAAAAAACAATTATAAAACTATAAAATAGCTTTATAATATTTTTCCAGTAGCAGTATTACTACTAGTGTGATACTTTTAAAAATAAGTTTTAGCCCAGAAGGGCTATTAACTTCATTTTGCCATTTTGTAGCGTTTCACTTTTCAAATCGTTGCCACTAAATATCATCACACTGTATTATATTTAAAGAAATTAAATAATGAGAAATCTGCATAAATTTATGAATGTTTCTCGCACTGTGATAAAACAACAGTACCTAGAGCCATGAAATTTTGAATAACGTAAGCCTCCATCCTAATATAGGCATCTTGGAGGCCAAAATTTGGAACTGGGAATTTGTTTTATTATCTATTTCATATTTTGTAAAGCATTTATGAGTGTTTGATTAAGAAACTGAATGATTTCAAAGCGAGCAATGGCAACATTGTACGGGAAAAAAAAAAAGAGGAAGAAAACATTTTCATCTCTAGCGCGCGAAACTATGTATCGGAAATTCTAAAGATACACTCTTTTTGAATTGAATTTTATGGTTTAAATGCGAAGAACATGATATTTAATAAATAAAGGTAACACGCAAAAAATTAAAAAAACCCGGCCTTTTGGGAGTAATATAAAATCTGAAAGATTTCAGATATTTTTTTTTTTTTGTGTGTGTGTGTGTGTAATTTTATTACGCTTTAAATTGGTTTCTAAGGGAGGACTTTCTGAGGGAGACTGGCTTGTATACACATTACATACGCGGAAAGCCACGAAAACGCCGATGCGGGCAGCTCGTTCGTGGTATTCGAAACTCGGACCAAACTACCTGCGTTCAGCGACTCTACCGCTCGGCCACTGGTGGGCTTATTAGCAGAATTATACTGTATTATTATTGTATTATGCTATAAAGCAACAATGCTATAAGACTGAGACATACCTTTAGAATTTCCGATGCATAGTTCCGCGCGCTAGAGATGAAAAGGTTTTTTTTCCTCTTTTTTGTTCATGGAATAGTACTTTTGTAATCCATTAGTATTAAAAAATCATTGTTTCTTTGCAAACTTAAAAAAAAAAATACTGTTCGTAGCAGAGTTCTCATTTTTATATTGTAAAAGAGATATTGATTATTATTAGTTTTCTATTTAATGTGCCGAAACGCTGGTTTGACAAAAATTTCAACTGCAGAAAAATATTTAAAGAAACAGTGCGAATCCGAAAAAAATCACCTTCAGTATATTTAAAAAACACTGATAAATTTATAAAATAATTTGAATTAATATAAAAGATTTTCTTACATGAAATTATCCAAGTGCATTTAGTTACAATATTATTAACGCGAATATTGTTTGGTGTAAGGGTAAAGAAAATATTTTTTCGCGCTAAATTAATTAATGGATTATTTATTTTGAGGGGGGAAAAAAAAAAAGCACGAAAATCCGTGTTTAAATTATCGCGAAAAGTCAAACAAACGTTTTGTCAAAGAACGATTCATCTTAATCCGTGTTCTTCAATTTCCTATATACGTCGTACATTGATTATTTTTACTTTGGTACTTGCATTGTGAAAATAATATTATTATCTTTTAATTATTTTCACAGAATAAAATCTTTTGAGAAGGAAGAATATTTTAAATAAGCAGTTTTTATATATATATAAGAAATTAAAATAACAGCAATGTAATGTTAAAAAAAAGTATTAGTAATTGTGTGACAAAAATTACAATACGAATTAATCACACATACAGGATAGATTAGTATAATTTTGGTATATATTTTATATTGAAAAAATATTTTCTTTCATGTTAATTATAGAATAAATTATTTAAAACATTTTGATGCGTGTGCGATAGCTGAATGCAGCAGCAATCGGCCGTACTGTAATAGCGAATGAATTTAAAATTGTTTATTTCTAAAAAGATTTGAAGTAAGCTTAATTCATTTACTCTTATCTATTTACCGTTGCTTTCATGGTATCCCATATCACTCTATATTTCTTAGTCCTGAATTCCTGCGTTAACTTTCCCCTTAAAAAACGGATAACATAGCAGCATATTCTGCTGCGTGTTGGTCATAATACTGTTTTGTGCCATTTTTTTCAAATTACAAATGCAGTGTGTGAGTTAGTGAAATAATGAGAGAATATTCCTAGAACTTCAGCCAGCACGCGCTATAAATTTCGTCACTCGTCTGTACTGCAATTGGTCTAAAGCTCCTTGAAGCCTTGTCCCCTTTCAGTAAAGTCAAATGGACTCACCCGCCCACCAACTGAGGACCACAGAATGGCTTTCTCCGATAAGTTGTGATGGGTTGTCTATACCTTTTTTTTTTTTTTTTTTGAGTCAATATTGTTCCCCTCAAGTTGTAGACAGATCCAGTGATCATAGAATAGGCGTCTAGATTGAAAAGTGACAAAAAAAAAAAAAAAAAAAAAAAAAAAAAGGTCTGTTGCTTGTTTTGCAGCGAACTGTAACAGTTTGAATATTCAAGATTTTGCCGAGAAAGGGGAGACCTCCCAACCTTCGTACTGTATAATGTATTGGCCAAAAAAATGAAATTATTTTGACTACTTGATTACTTTCCCTTTATTTAAGCCATTCCGAATATTATTCCTTAGAAAGCCAATCTGTGTTAAAACACAATCATTTTTTGAAGTTTACTATACTTCAGTTTATCTATACAGTTACTATCCATTTTTGCAACTATGCAACCATTATTATAAACATTCATACATATGCTCATAATATAAGCATAACGATCATAATAAACACGAATATGAACTGACCAAGCAGAATGAGAATGCAAATTTTTAAGATCTTGATAGAAATTCAAACGTGTGTAGTATTTGAGTGGGAGGAAAAGAATGCCGAATGTAGCGGAATTTTCTACTGCTTTCGCAATTCTTTGACCAATAGACTCTTTGTGCCACCTGTCTGTACTCTTTGTGCACACCAAAGGTTATGTTAATGCAGAGAAAGGGGGAAAAGCTATTTCCGGGAGTATGACTCACCATCTGACGTTCCATATTAGAAAGAAAAGTTGTTTATTTAGTTTTGGCTTTGGTACGGGGAAAAATAGCGCGTTCATTAAAAAAAAAAAAAAAAAAAAAGCACTAAAAGCAAAAAATAAACACCAAAAACAAAAAAACAAAAAAAAAAAAAAAAAAAGGGCTTTAAAGAAAAAGTAAGCACCTATAAGGGCCTTTATATTTTATTTTCAAATATAAGGACTTATAAGCACTTATAAGGACTGCTACGAACCCTGTTGTGATATGCTGCCATCGACTATTTAAAAAGAGAAGTTCGAAGTATATTATAAAGCCATTTTTATCCATTTATGGTTGAATTTAACGGTTTCAGAAGCAATTCATGTTGGGTGTTCCATGTAGTGGAGCACTGAGCAACAAAGGGCTAAATGAATTTGGAAAAAATACAGAGAAACTTCAAACAGATAAAGTGCTGATCTAGAAATGCTTGCCTATGCCAGAGGTGATTTAGTGGAAGTCTGAAGATGACATTGGCTCTATCAGTTCCTTTTCCATTGCCATTGCAAACAAATTTATTAACATTATAACCAAATACTGACTTCCTGATGTGTATATATTTTAATTCTTTCATATAACATACACAACAAACTCATATTCATGTGTTATGGAGTGTCTGTGATATACCAGTGTTAGAATTTGTCCCGAATACTAAACACCAGAAAGTTTGCGTTTGCAGCATGATTCTGCTTCACCACCGAAACTTATTATTGACATGCAAATAAAAACCATACTTACCACCAACATCTATACTAAGAGGAGCTCGTTTAGGTTCACGTTTAACTTTAGCTCGGGGACGGGCTGGATTCTGCATAAAAAAAATTGCATTTTACATTCAGGCAGAGAGATAGATAGGAAAACAAACAAGAAATCTGAAAATTAAAATTGAAACAACTCTTTTTATAACGTACATCGAGCTGCAATATACAAAAAAGAAGAAAATATGTAAAAATAAGCATCCTAAGGATATGCCAGAAACTGAAAGTAATAAAAATTCAAGATATTTTCTCCTACCTAGAGCAAAAAGATCAAATTATGCAGATACTAAAAAAGGCATAGGAATGCATAATTTAAAAGGATAAACAAAGTTTGATAGTTTCATTTGGTTATGCCAAAGCATGCTACGGCTATCTGCCTAAGTGAAGGGATGCCTCTGAGAAGGACTTTCTAAGGCAACTGGCTCATATCCACGTTACACATAGGGATTATTACAAAATGTTTATGCAGAGAGCCTACTTGCCTAGAACTGAACACAGGTTGAATTACCAGTGTTCAGAGACTCATTTGCCTTCTAGTATGCAAAATGCAGTTCACAAAAATTGAAGAAAAAAGAAGGGAGGCAGCAATAAACCACATATATAAGTAAACATATTTACAAGTAAACTGAAAAATGTAACAGCTAGTGAATAAAAAAGATGAACTGCAGTTTTGAGTAATAAAAGTAAGAGAAATATATATAAATTCTAAGTAAACAAGTAATTTAAAAAGCTGAATACTTGCTCTGAAGCTGCCATGTGATAAATCAATAATTTATTACAGTCAAAAGTCATTAATCCGGACTCGTCGGGACTTCGGCGATTCCGGATTATCGATTTTTCTGGATTATAGATCATCAGTTTAAATCTCATAAGATGGCATGCAGAAATTCTAAAATTAAAAATATGAAACCGTAATTTATGAAATAAAGAACAATTATGATCTAAAGGGTATCAAAATTTGCAAAAAGAAAAAGCTTAATATTTATTTTACTTTATTAAACATTTCTTTCAATGTAAGTTGTTTAAGTTTTGCTTTGTTTCATGTGATAATACTTTCTCTTTAATTGTATTAAACAGACATAATTTCTTGTTCAGTTACAAAGTTCCGCTGTTCAAGTCCTATAATTGCTGTGTCGAGAACACCGACTAATTTGTCAATCGAAATTTTTTCGTTTTCAATAACCTCTGTTACTTTTCTTCGCTATCGGAAACGAATTATAATGACGAGGAACTTGTTTTAAATCATATCAAAGACGGAGCATATCGAGATGAAATACTACATTTAAGGAATTATAAGCCAAATAAAATAAAAACATCTGCGCTGAAGATAAGGATAGTGCTGACAGATGAACTTCCAATTCATTACGCGCGCGGCGCGGCGTTCCCCCCGCCGAGCAGCGTGAAATTGATAAACAGATTTCGGATTTCAAAACGTACTTTCGCTTTAGATCCTTTACATATTAACAAATATATATCGGAAATTCTATTTGATATAATCGAAAGTTAAGCTTACTTTTATAAAATTGCTCTTACAGTCTGCAAAAAATAATAAGCCGGATCCAATTCGAAAATTAAGGAACAACGCAATCATCAACATTAACTGAAATAGATAATTAGATAATTTTAGCTTATACGTCCATTATACATAAAACGTGCACGCGAAAACGTATTCTGCACTTGCGCACACTCATATGCACAGTCGTAAAAGGTCTTACGCGCACGCGTAAACGCCTATGCGCATGTGTCAACGCGGCGCATGCGCAGAAAGTTTTTAAGTTTTGAGGTCCGGATTATAGATCATTCCGAATTAACGACTTTTGACTGTATTAGAAATGTTTTTTAAATATATCATCTCCAAGAAATATACATATATATTAATGTAGGCATAGCAAATGAAATACACCAGATATGTGCTACCCCCCGACCATAACGCAAATTCAATTAGGCCTGAATTACCAACACATACATAAAATTGTGAATTTTTATAAAATACATAAAATTATGTGCCATATAAAAAACTGAACTTTCAGTATTTAAATGTCAATACAGTATATAAGAATAAAGAGCTTTATTGAATTAACTCTGTGTGAAAATTCAGTTAAGACATTAATTAAATATTATTATCACTTACTGTACACATCCTATAAATATGGAATACTCTATGGCAGATTTACATATGGAGATTGCTTTGTCAAGTCATCAGATAAACAATAAACTATTAGTAATAACTCTGATATACCTAGAATGCATACCGTCTTAAAGTAAAATTACCATCAATGAAACTAATGTATAGAATTATTTTACATGCACATAGTTAAACTTTGCAGTGTAGTATAGAATTTGATATATGTTAACATATATACATGTGCCATTTGTAAAATGCTCATGTAATAAACACTGTATTTATACTTACAGATACAGTTCTTCTCAGGGATCGAACGTTTCGTTCCTTTAAATTTCCGTCTAGGGATAATTCGGATGTCTCACTTCTATCAAATGCTGAATCTATTGACGTACATGACTCATTAGCTGAAATCAGCAAAGTTAACTTTTTACACTGATATTAACAAATTGTACAGATATTTTACTGTTTTCTTAGTTAATTACTATTTAAGCAAAACAAAAGAAAATAATTCTAAACATTTTAGGAATATTTCAGAAATGGAATTATAATAGAACTTTTCTCACCATGATAGAAGGTACAAAATACACACACAAAAGAAAATTACAAGACATAGCAATTTTACTGGCAGCTAATGAATAATGATCATCATTAATTACAATTACAGAAATACTGCATATTTAATTTATTCTAATTGGAAATCAACCGTAAAATTTAGCATTGTAACCCAGCATCAATATACAAGTTATACATCAATATCCGAGTTACTGTCCCACTTCAACGGTAGTGTATCGATCTTGTGATGTCGAAAGCTCGCTTGATCACATCGCCATCTATTAGCACAGATGAGAAATGCAGCACCACACCCACTGCTGCATTGCAGTACACTGTTTTCTGACATTCTTGATTTTTTAAACAATGTTTAGTGTAATTAAGTGTTAGTAAATTATGGAGTGATATGTTTATCTACGATATACACACATTTCAAAACTGTGGATATGATACAGTATAGTTTCAGGATGTGTGCATTTATCACATAGATAAACATTTGACTCCATAACTTAGTTTCTAACATTTAATTAAACAGTATTTAAAAAATCAAGAAGATCAGAGATCAGTGTACTACAATGCTGCAGGGGGGGGGAACTGACTTTTTTTCTGGGAGGAGAGGTGAGTTGTAAAAAGAGTTCTTGTGGTATCGATATGATCAATAGAATGATATGATAGTTGGTAACAAAAAAGGATGGGTCAGGAAATACTGAAGACAGTGCAAGAATTTGGCTTCCTTTCTGGTTGGTAGCACCAAAAGTTTATAAGCATATCACACTGATATATTCCTATATGCAAACTAGAGAATAGGTCAGACATATAGAACTAAGTGAAAAATTTCTAGCTAGTTGTCACACGTCTGTGAAACTACAATGCTCAGCACACATTACAGTGGATGAAACCCTGCAAATTTTAGTGTGGGCCAAATAAAACCTTTTTTAATCATTCTCCTTTGAATTAGGTAGTTGAAGACCTACTGGTGTCCTACCAATCACACGTCACACAGCTCATCGACTGAAATGAATCCAATGACAGTGAAAATGAGCTGTAAAAAGTGCCACTGGGGAAAGGCAATGAAGCTACAGACCAGTTTGCTAGACATTCTGCAAGATGAAGCAAAATCTGCAATAGTATAAGAGTTATGTTCATGTGATCTAAATTGGGCAGTCTCATCCAACTCTGTTATCACTGACAGATACAGGCTATGTATATAATTACCACACCACTTGGCTAGAGAGTGTTGTTTGTACTTTGACAGCCAGGGGCAAGCAGGATGCTAAATGTACCAGGATGTGGAAAGGCAAGATGCCTAATAATATATCTTCAATAGTTATATTTTTATTGTTAATAAATTTTGTTATTATTTGAAGAAAAACCTATACACCATTAGCCACACTGCAACATCAGATGTAGAAATGGTGTAATCATCAGAATGAACCATCAGATGTAAATAATGTTCTAGAAACTGGAATATCGGAAGTAAATGGCCATTATTGGATTATAATTCTGAGAAGTTTGGATACTTTAACAAATTTCCATATTCCGGACTGTGGAGGCAAGCTACTTAACCAAGCTAAATCAGCAAAATATTTTAGTGTTATTTTAGACTGTGCACTAGATACAAGTCACGTGAAGCAACTTTAGTATAAAATACAAATTTTTGATGAAGAAAATATTGTAAAAAAGTAATGTTTTGTTATCTAAAAACCTGTTCCAGACACTGCAGGTTAGGATAATATGAAAAAGTATACATAATTTTCTGATAACAATCTAGACTGATAGAACTGCAGATCTAAGGCAATGATAATGATTCAAATACAAAATAAAATAATAAAGAAGTTCAGGCACGGATTGGGGAGGAGACAATCCATGATCATTTTACATGCCAATGTCATAGCCTAAACTTAGGTGACAGTGCAACAAGTTAGCTGAAATCGAGTTTTTTTTTAAATTGATACTATGCAACACATCTGTTTTTCTTTACTGCATGTTCTGGGCAGTAGAATATACTGAAAAAACACGTTAACTGTCTCTCTACAATAATTTCATGCCAGACCAGATGGTCATAAAGAACAGAATATGAAAAAAACCATTAAAAATGAAAACAATAATCCTCAATTCAATAAGCCTTTTATGAACTTTCAAAATGCCTGGGGTCTGATCCAGCCCCAGCAACATGAAGCAGAGACTTGTAGCACAAATAGAAGAGTAGTTTTCTGGCAATGACAAATGTCTGGCATGAAGTCTTAGGCAAGATAAATGTTATCTGCAAACACCTCTGCAATTAACTATACTATTAGATGCACAGTCCATTTTTTAGAAGTAAAAGAATAAGAAAAAGGAGAAAGCTTGTTTTAGTACGAGTGCACTGACAAAGTTCCAAATGTAGATGACCTCAAAATAAATTAATAAATATAAAAATAAATACCATATTTGATGGCATATAAGATGCACCCTTACTTAGACGGCCACACACAAGGGAAAATGTTTCAATAGCGCGGTTTCTTTTAGTTCTCACGTTTTGTAAAAGGCCAAATAAACAATTATTGAATGCAATTACCTTCACGTATAAGACTGTGTCTTTCACGTATAAGACGCAGGTAACTTTTTTGAGACCAAATTTAGGAAAAAAAAGTGCGTCTTATATGCCGTCAAATACGGTAAAATAGATAAATTAATTAAAAATCACATATTCAATGCAACATTCAATACAATACTGGGCAGAGCTATTAATTCTTTAGAGAGATTTGAACAATTACAAAAATAATTATAATAATGTATTTGATCTCATGACTGAACAGACAAAGAATTATTCCCTGGAGACGTAAAGCTTCCAACAGAAGATACTATGCTCATGAACATAACCTTGGTTTGCATTCATGTTATGGAAAGAGAAATCCACGGAAATGCCCATACAACTACACATTTGACAGAATCAGAACCCAGACAGAAGAGTGTTCAGCTGACTTGTTAATTTAGATGACTTTTAGGACTCGTATTAAAGTTTGAAAAATTCATGTTAACAGTAAACTATCAAATTTGTACAAAATACATTTATTCATATAAACTACATATTGAAAACCTAAGTGATGTAAAATCAATTTATTGGTAATAAGAAATAAATACAATACAAAGTCCGAGATCCGGACTCATCAGGACTTCGGCCATTCCGGATTTGAGATTTTTACGGATATTAGATCATGAGTTAAAATCTAGCAAGATGGCATGTAGAAATTATAAAATTAAAAATATGAAATCATGATGTATGAAATAGTGAAGAATTAATGATCTAAAGGGTAACAAATTTACAAAAAAGAAGCTTAATATTTATTTGTTTACTTTATTAAACATTTCTTTCAAAGTAAGTTATTTAAGTTGCTTTTTTTGTGCTAATATTTTCTTTTTAATTCTGTAGATGGACATAATTTCTCATTCAGTTGCAAAGTTCAATTGTTCAAGTCCTGAAATTGCTCCGTCTAGAATTTCGACTAACATACAAATCGAAATTTTTTAGTTTTCAATAACCTCCCTGTCACTTTCTTCACTATCGGTAGCTGTATTTTTTGGATCTAGAACCACACTACAGATTTCGCCATCCGTTAAGTGCTTGACATTGTCATCATAATGCAAAATTTGTTATATCATCTTCATTTATTACCATTTGTCCACATTTCTTTAAAAAATCCATTAATTGGAAAACTTAACCCTTGGTTTGCGATATCTGAAAACCTTCACATTCATGACTACCTCAAATCAGCATTTCATCAACCTCACCATAAAATATACTAGTTGGCCATAAATTATGTCAAGCATTTTTTAAAGTATATGGAGACATCCTCCCATGATCTTGCTATACTCCACACAGCAGATTTTAAGCTAAAATATTTAAAAAATTCTACTTTGTATTTCAGCGTGCACACTATTCTGATATCCAGAGGCTGAATGATTGACGTACAATTTGGAGGAAAGAATAATATAGATACATTATCTTTCACTAAAACTTTAAGTGAAGTATAAGCCAAACAGTTGTCTAGAATCAGGACAATTTTTGCATCATTAGGTAAACCAACCAAATTCTGCCGAGCTTTGGGTACGAAATGATTTTCAAAAGAATAATTAACACTTGTGTCATTCATGTTCTTTTATCCGCACGCTACATAACAAGAAAGTTTTTACTCCTTTAAATGCTCGAGGTTGTGTGATTTTCCCGATTACGAAAAGTTTAAACTTGTGTATTCCTGCCGTATTTACGCACGCTAAAATTGTTGGTCTCACTTTGGAATCTTTGACACGAATTTGAGGCTTTTCTATACAGATTGCCAAGGTATTTTATGGTACACATTGCCAGAAAGAATAGTTTCATCAGCCGTGTAAATTTTTTCTAGATATAACTTTTAATAAGTTCAATGAATTCATCTGCAAACAGTTCCGCAGCTTCAGTAACAGCTGAAGCTTTTTTACGTGAAACTATTAATTGCCTTACACCATGGTGATTTTAAAATTTGGTTAACCAACCTGTCAAATATATACATTCAGTTTTTTGGTTCAGTTCTTAGTAAAAATTCATAAATATTTTAGCTTGCGGCATTAGCATTTGACCCGTCAATGGCATATCCTCGATGCGAAGCTGTCTGACCCATTCAAACATCAATTTGTCATGATCTTCACTTTTAGCATAACGAATAATTTTTCTGTTATACACTGCGAGTGCGAAGGGGGGGGGGTCGGAATTCACAACATATTCAAAAAATTCCTTTTCTGTTAGTGTCATATGCCATACTCTTCACATAATTTTGACATGGATATACCTTTATAAATTGTTTGCAGCAATTACACTTTTTGTTTAATGAACATCATAACATGCTTTCGCTTTGTAGATCCTGTTCAAGCTCCAGAATTAGAAACTCTTTTCGACATGATCGAAAGTTGAAACTTTAATTTTCATCAAATTACTATAATAAAAACAGCCTGCAAAAATAATTAAGCTAGATCAAATCAGAAAGTTAAGGAACGGTAAAATCTGCTATACTAACTGAAATTTCTTGTAATCAGTAAAGGATAATTTTAACGTAGCTTAATAGCGTCTGCTCTACATTATTAGCTATGTATTACGAGATTGGGGAAAAAAGACAAATTGATCTGCTAAATTTTGTCTTGCTTCTATTGCGCACTGAGACAATTAAGCCTGATTGTATTAGTTTAGTTATTTATTATACTTACGTCTATTTCTTGCACATGCTTAAGGCTTATCTGAATACCTAATAAATAAATTCCCACATATACTTAAAGCTTATTGAGGGCCAGCACTATTCTCTGAGTTCTAAATTTTTGCCACCCCTAAATTTTGGATCCCAGTGCTTTTCCAAAATTCTAAAAATATTTTCGCCCTTTAATTTTGTTGCACGGTACTTCTCTAAATTCCAAAAATCTTGCCTTCCCTAAATTCTGCTGCTCGGTGCGGCCATACAAGCTCTGGTGTCGGTTCTGGGTTCATGTGAAAAAAAAAAATCAGTTATTCTTAATTCAAATAGCACTAAAAGTAATCCTTTGGTCTTTGAGTATTATTAACAAAATCTATTTTAGCATATGGAAAGAGATTTTTGTTATATTTTTCCTTGTCAATTATTTTTTAGCACATTTAACGTAAATCTGTAATAATTGCCAAGCGGAATGTCAACATAAAAGGTTACTATAGTCTTTGTACTAATATAACAAAATTGTTTGGGCATCGCTGCATGAGTCATTACTCAAGTTGTCATGCAGTAATAAACATGCGGTGATGAAAGCAAAAATATAATAAATAATGATTTGCCAGGTTGGCATCAGGGATATAAAATGTTAGTAATGCTTCAGTTTGAGATGTATAGCAGGCAAATATGCAGCTACGGAGCCAAATTATTTATCACTATATTTATGCTAAATTATTGTTTTCTTTAATAATGAGGTATTTATTTAGTGAAGCCAAATTAAGAATCGGGACTCTCCACATGTTTTTTTTTACGGGGGGGGGGAAATCAAATGTGCATGCATAAAGCATTAAAAAAGTTGGAGGTGGTTTTGAGGTCTGGATTTTAGATCATTCCAGATCTTGGAATTTGTACTGTATAACTATACATTAATACATTAATATTTGGAATGGTTAGTAATAGGTTAGTCTTTTAGAAATACGGCATTGTTTTCGTACTCAAAGGGTACAATATATAAAATGAACTATACAAAACAGACAATTCTCCAAAAGTTTGTGAATTTAATATCCATCACAATATGTTTTAGATTGTATTATAGTGGATTTATTTTTATTTTCCAATAAAATAATTTTACAACAATATACAAGTATACGAAACTAGAATATACAAATAAAACTATAAATTTCTGTAATGTTTTAATGTGCAGAAATTATATGTGTTTGTTTCATAAGTTTGTAATAAAAGGCTCTTTATTTAGCAAGTCTATTTAAAGAACCGATCATTGACAGTTTCATTTTATCCAACATTCTCGGTTATCTAAACAACATTCAGCATCATTTGATAATATGTAATCAGGATTCTACTGCAGGTACCTATGATAAATGAAAGTAACCTTTATCTATGCGAGTTTTACATACACAGATTTAAAAATAGATATGAATTATGCAGGAACATAATACATATGAATATATGAAATTATATAGGAGTTCTTGAAGCTACAACTAATATCTCTACATTCAAATGAAATCTTTATTACAGAAACAGTAAAAATTGTCATTTGATTTTAGACAAACATACAAACAAGTATGAAATCAAGTGATTTCACATTTGATTGTATGTTGGTCAAAAATCAAATGAAAATTTTTACACTGCTCATGTAAACAGCCCAAATGTTAAAAAGTCAAAACTTAGATTACAATTAGATATCTGATGTTGCTCTAATGTTTCAAATTCATATTCCATCTAAAAATTACTAAATTTTTCCATTCTCTATCCATTTTTAGCAATAAGGGTATTAATAAAAATAAATAACAAAACATCTATGGAACATAAAAAATTCAGTACTGTAACAAGTTTTGTTTTCAGACTAGCAAAGTAAGATCCTTTACACTAGCTATGTGACATATTACATTCGGTATAACAAGACTCAATGTGCATGTTATTATAAAGTAAGATTACCAGAGTCTTTATTGGCAGCTGATGCTGGTGATGCTAGTGGAGATTCAACAACAGCTATGTCCTCAGCCGGCTGCTGTTCTTTGGCTCTAAGAAGTAAGTAAATCATAGCTTGTTTATGTTTCCTAACCCTCTGCAATAATTCTGCATACCTAGATTGCTGTTCTTCAGTAAATCGCCTAAAAAAGACCATTAGGACGTTATATTTCACTCAGATTTCTGATTCAGATCTATATAATGTATAGTTCCTCTTTCTAATTTCCAATATGATTGTAAACAAATTATAAACATATAGGAGTAGCTATCTGGTTGTAATGAAAGTTTCCCGCCATAGGAAAAAAAAACATGAAAGCAGTACCTTTGGTGTGGGTAGTAAACACCACCCAAATCTATGATTTTCTGCCAACGTTTTGGTAGTTTTTCAAAGCAGTCGGCCCAGAAATTTTGTGGCCACGAATCCAAAAACAGATCAACCTCATTTCAGACGTCCTCTGCATAGTGGAAGATAGCAGAAGCAAGATGTAGTTGCAGGTGTGCTAAAAGGTAGAAGTCCGAACGAGCGATGTCAGGGCTATATAGCGAGTGTGGCAAAAAATCCCATTTGAGTCCATACAGAGTCCAGCTGGTGAATGCAGACACATGTGATCTAGCATTATCTTGATGGAACATTAGCTTTTTTGTGCCAGAACTTAGTTCGATGTTCTTCCTTGATAGCAGCATTCAACACAGACTAGTATCTTGCTGTACACCATAGTTTTACCATTTAAAAAATACTCTTTCTAGATAACACCACTGTAACCCCACCGGATTCAAAACAAGATCTTTTTTGTTAGTCAAACTGATGCTGCTTTGCAATGCTGTTGACGAGCTTATCGCAGACCAGCCCCCTTTTCAGCCTGTGTTGTTGAAGTAAAATAACTTTTCATCACAAGTGATGATCTGGTCCAGAATTTTGTTCTTGTGCTGATTTTCGAGCAGACTGGTGCAGGCCCAAAACATGTCTGCCCTTATTTGCTTGCGTCAGCTCCTGCAGCAACTTGTATGTCAAGTTTATGCGAGGCATAGCATGGCTAATGGACATGGCACTAAAGCAGTGGCGGCTCCTCTATTTCACACACATTAGCATGTGAACACCCAAAGAAAAATGAAGAAATAAATTTATTAATGAATAAAATAATATTAAATACATTTCAAGTTTTTTGTCAATTTCCAGGATGGTTTTCTTACTGCCCTTTTTTAATATGTTAATCCGTAGCTAACGCATATTGTAGGTTACTATGGCACAGAGCATTTTGTTTTTCCTCAATCGCACATGCAATGGAAGAAATACCCTTGAAAACCATTTCATAAGAGCAGAAGTAGATAGAGGAGTGGGACAGGAAAGCTGCCACTGACACTATTCCATTCGCACATCTTTGTTGTGCTGGAGCTCGCACTGTTTGCAGCTACCTATCTTGTTTTAATTCAGCCTTGGTTTGCTGTATTCGGTTAATTAATTCAATTTTGAATTTTCTTCTTATTTTTATATATATATATTTTTTTATGAGCTAGTGTTTAAACAGTTAAGATGGCACTTAGTAACGTCAGTGTTTTGGAACTAAAGCAGTAACATTTTTCAATACTGTCTTTGGAAAGAAAAACTGAAATGAAACTCAGGCCAATACACCTTTGCTAAACTTTATCCAAGTGATGAAATATAAGACTAAAGACTTCAAAAGGTAATTCAAACCCAATTTTTATGAGAAACGTTCATGGATTTGTGGATGCAAATTAACAGGTTTTCTGTTTTCCATGTCTCTTGTGTGCAAAACGGAATGGTATCAAGTTAGTAAGTTATGGTGTTGCTGATTTATCACATATAATTCAGAAAATTAAAAAGCATGAAAACTCACAATTAATTTGCCAGGAAAGGTAAATATTCGCCAACAACTTGACAGTGCATTTTATTAAATGTTAAAGGACACAATGAGAAGGTTGCAAAAAATTGTGCTGTGACAAAAATTATTGACTGCATTTTGTTTTGCGGGGCATTTGAGCTTGCACATCGAGGATATGATGAACATGAGGTTTCATTAAATTTGGGAGTTTTCAGGAGTCTTTACCTCTCAGCAGAACTTAATTCGTCTTTTAAAGACTTATCTCACTAGTATCACTATTTTTAAAGGAGCATGACAACAAATTCAAAATAATTTATCAGTCTGCATGTTCACTGCTTATCAGAACCACATAAAAAATGAAATCTCAAAAGCAGTTTTGTTTCAGTAATATCAGAAACTACTGCTGCGTCATCCACTTCTCAATTTGTTATTGTTTTTCAGTACGTTTCAGACAACCATTGGAGACACTCTCGGAATTCAAAAATCTATTTGGTCCATAATGCAAAATCTGTAGCTGAGTATATTGAAGCCAGGTTTGTAAAAAGCAGTAGACAAACCCAAGAAATTAATACTGCAGAGCAACAACTGTGCAAGCGTGATGAATTGGTCATCACACTGGTGTTCAAGCTTTTAGCTATGCACATTAGCTCAATTTGATTGCTGGGCAAGCAATCGATCAGAATCAGCAAACTCAAGCACTTTTTTTTTTCTAACCTGAGAGATATTTCTAACTTTTCAATAACTCACCAAAAGAGAATCGCTATTCTAGATGGAACTGACAGAAAAGGATGCCTTATAGTTCAGCCACTATATGGAATTTTAAGAGTCAAACCATTAGTACAGTGTAAGAATACAGGGAATATTTGATTGAATGTGTGGAAAAAATAGTCAATGTCTAAATGAGCTGTACCAATAAATCAAGTAGGGGCTATACACTAGAAAACTCGGAACTTGTATTTTGGCTTAATGTTTCACAATAATATGCCACATATTGATGTGTTATACAGGCAGTTTAAGAGAACACATAAATTATCGAGCACTCATTAGAAAGCGAGTAAATGTTTTCCAGCAGTCATTAAGGAAAGGAAGAGAATGGACACAGTGGCAGAGGTGATGTTGGAATCGTATGAATCTTCTAGAAAAAAAGGAAGAGAGAAAATATTCATACAAATAGAACTGTACCAGATAAAAATATATCTGATCACAAATTCAGCAAATGAGAAATTTTGTTTTATTTCTCACTACTTTACTGTTTCTGTCTTCGAAGCTATAAAATTCCAGAAATATGAGAAAAAATTTCTAACTCAGATGTTTGACCAAACAACTGATGTTTATTTTATGTTACATAAAGATCGTCTGAAACCTGAACTAGAAGTAATTTACAGAAGATCAAATTTCACAAATATGAGTGGTTCCATTGGCCTTCCACAATTTATCGTAGAAAATAACTTACAGACTATGCTTTCGGAGACCTACAAACTGTTGCTAATTATTTATACTATTCCAATGACCACTGCTTATGCTGAGAGATGCTTCTCAACTCTTAAAAGATATTTCTAAGAAACACTATGAGCAAGGAGAGACTAAGCACTCTAGCCATGTTTTCAATTAAAAAAAAAAAAAAAAGCATGATAAATGACATACCTAAATTCAATGAAAGCATTATTGATTTGTTTGCCTAAAAAAAGGGGGGCAGATAAGTGAATTTAATTTACAAAAATTGTATTTCATTATTTAGTATTCAATGCTTATATTGCAAGCAATATTGGTCAAACCAGTGGCCAAGTGGTAAATTCAGTGCTGGCAAACAGTATTCAACTGCATGGGCATTTTCATGGTTTTCCACATGTGTAATGTGCATATGAGCCAGTTTCCTTAGAAAATCCTCCACTTTGGCATCCCTCCCTTTAAGCAGAAAGCCCTCATGTGCTTTGCCATTTACAGTTTTATTACATTCTATTGCAAGAAATAAAATATTCTAATGCATTTAGCTATGAAAACATATTTTCTTTTAGTTGCATTGTTTTTCTTTAAGCTTGTGAAAATAAAAATGTATTTTAACTTGTAATTTACAGCATATCTGCATATTTAATTTTTGAAATCTGTTCTGTTAAACTCCATTTAAATAACCCATGAGCTGTCACTGCATTAACGTTTAACTCCTTAGCAAGCTCTTGAGTGGTTGCATACTGATCTTCTTCCACAAGTTCTCGCACGTGAGCTTCATCAATATCAGTAGGATGATCAGAGTGCGCTGCTTCTTGAATGAATGTCATAGTCCTTATTTTTGAACTTTTGGTAATAAATCTTCTCAGTGTCATATAATACAGCATCTGTTCCTAAAGCTGTACACATGATTTGGTGACATTTTGTAGCTGACTTTTTGCAACAGAACTGGAAGCAACTGATTAATTCTAACCTGGTAGTGTGATAGTTCCATTTCAGACACCTTGTACTTAATGATAACGGTATTTTTTTTACGAATTTCAGAACACAGTGTTCTAACGACAACGTTAACTGTTTGCACAGACAATATTTGAGGTGGCAGGAAACTTTCATTAAAACCCAATAGTACTAGATTTAATAAGTGTACACTTTGAACTCACCAATGAACAGCTAAACATACCAAAATGCATTACAATCAACTGCATATACAACTATTTTAAACATAAAAAATATAAAAGCAACTAAAAGAAAAGAATGCAGGAAATGTTTACTCTTCAAAAATTTTAACAAATGAAAATAAATTAAATGCACTTCTTGAAGATAGTGCTATCCAAAACGGAGCATATATTTGATAGTGTTGAATTTATTATGCCTTCCAAAAATTTTATGAAATTATAATGCACATTTTGAGTACATTTATTCAGCTTAAGATTTCCAAAACTTCTGCAAGATTCAATGAAAGGCAAAATATTCATATAACTGAGCATTATGGAAGATATTTTTAACCTACTTATACTAAACCAGTAATTAACATCTTCCCTTTTTTCTATGTTAATACTCCTTATGTTCATACATAACTCACTTTTTGACAGATGTATACTTAAGGATAGTAAGGAAATGGGGGGACTCATAAATGTTTCTGTGCAAATATTTCATTATGAACTTTAGTCTGCACAATTTCTGCTTTTTCACTTTTTGATATTTTCCTTCAGATTTCTAAGATTCCAAGCTATTTGGAAAAAAAAGGGGGGGTGAAGAAAAAACTTTTTATGCTATAGACATAAATATGCAGGGAAAAAGTTTATTCCAGACATGCCATTATTGTTATGTTTTGTTTGGCTGGAATCTACGGAAATGATGAGAACTTTTGCAGTTCTCCATATTACATACTTATTATTACAAAGATGGTTAACACATCTTCTGTTAGGTAGAATAAAGACTGGCATGATTATTTCTTCCACTCGCTCTTCTCATCGCAGCAGTTTTATGCTACCTCTAACTCAAAATCTTTCAAACTTTCGCTGGCTTCAACTAACCCATAGTTATAGATCCATCTACACTAATGCAACATATTTTTAATTTGTGAAGACTCCCATTTAAAGTTACACAATGAGAAAAACTGCACAGCAATACTTATTACTAGGAAATACAATGCAGTCAAAAGTCTTTAATCCAGACGTCCATAATCCAGAATGATCTATAATCCGGACCTCAAAGCTACAAACTTTCTGCGCATGCATAAACACATAATGCATTTACGCATGTGCATAATACGTTTATGCATGCGCATTTAATGTATAACGGACAGTATAAGCTAAGCTAAAATTATCTAATTCTCTATTTCAGTTAATGTTGCAAATTGCGTTATTCCTTAATCTTCTAATTGGATCCGGGTTATTATTTTTTGCAGACTGTTAGAGCAATTTTAGAAAAGTACGCTTGAACTTTCAATTATGTCAAAAAAAATTTCAATTCTGGAGCTGCCAAAGGATCTACAAAGCGAAAGCATGTTTCGATGTCCATCAAACATGTTGAAAATATGACCTATTGTAACCCTTTTTCTGCATATCTCTCCTCCTTGAAATAATTCTAATTTTTACATAAGGTTTAGTTCTTATTTTAAAGGGATATAGCAATTACTTCTACTTCTTTTCCACTGCCACTGTTTGTATTAAGAACAGACTGTTCCAGCCTAATTAAGATGGAAAAACGAAACTCGAGGTTACATCATCTGGAAAGCTGAGTCGTGCTGACAGCTGATTAGCTGCTGTGAGATGACGTCATGTCTGCTTCATGTATAAGTATCCCGCATCGCTCGGGCTTAGTCCTTCTTGTTCCTGTTTCATTGCTCTACGTGTGCCGTTCCAGTGCTCATTGGAAGACATTATTGCAATGCGTGTCGTCCAGCGATAAGTACTGTGGTTCCGGGACATTATGGCTTTTCCCGGAATTCTGCAAAGCGGCGATGATGTGAGCATCTGCCGTGGGTGGCGTTCTGTTTCCGAAGTTAAGCGACGTCAAATTTTAGGTTGTGGTTTAAAGTGAGCAACTGCTGAAGGCAACATTTTTAATACAAGTGTTTCAGGTCTAGTGCCGATGTTTTTCCAAGCTGTGATTTCCGGTGAGCAACTGCCGTGGAACATCATTCTGTTTCATGATTAAGCGGCATCAAATCTCAAGTTGTGATATCTAGAGAGAGGCTTTTACCAATTCAAGTGTATTCAAGGTTTCACTTTCAGCTGCCTTCTTGGCCAAAAGCATAGACCTTTATAGTGAAGTGAAATTCAAATTAATCGCGTAGTTTTGTTCTGTGATATGTTTTTCGCATAGTGAATGCCAGTATTCATAGATCAGGTAATATATTTACTGTATCATTAATAGTGTAATATTCTTTAAAATAAAAACCCTTGGGGTTAATAAATAGTTAACTAAGTGTAATTTTTTAAAATGATTATGTCACACTCTTTAAGTTTCTGATATTGATCAAATTCATTTATTGTATTTTTATTTTTATATATATTGTTAAGAAATTGGTTAAGTTTAAAATTTTTGCCTTCTATGTCTGCACAGTATATAATCTTGGGGAAGTTCTATTGCTATTTCTGCTAAATGTTTTTTATAACTTTAAACTTTGCTTTTGCATCCAAACAAAAAGTGGAATTGCTGAAAAAAATGGATAAAGGCATATCCTTTGTTTCTCTAACCATTCCGAAATCTGTTAATCAATTTCACGCTGCTCTGCAGGGGTGGGGTGGGGGGTACGTCGCGGCACGCAAGGAACTGGAAGTTGATCTGTCAGCATTATCCTCATCTTCAGGGCAGATGTTTTTATTTTATTTGGCTTATAATTCCTTACTAAATGTAGTATTTCATCTCGATGTACTCCGTCTTTGATATGATTTTAATCAAATTCCTCGTCATTATAAATATCACAAATACACATCAAATAGTTTTCTGGTTGTAATTTTCTAATTTCGACTATGCGTAATGTATGCTTTACGCATGAGCGCATTGAAAGAAATGTTTAATAAAGTAAACAAATAAATATTACGCTTTTTTTTTGTAAATTTTGATACCCTTTAGATCTAATTGCTCTTTATTTCATAAATTACGGTTTCATATTTTTAATTTTATAATTTCTGCATGCCATCTTACTAGATTTAAACTGATGATCTATAACCTGGAAAAACCGATAATCCAGAATTGTTGAAGTCCCGATGAGTCCGAATTAAAGACTTTTGACTGTAGTTTTAAATTTTTAATGGTTGTAAATGAACAAAATAATAAGAACAACAATAATAATAATTACCTAATACGTTCTTCCATGGCTTTCTGCTCATCTCTTAAGTAGTTTGATACTTCACGCTGAACATTTTCAATAGACTGATCCAGATTTCCATTATATAATTCAATATCTATAAGTAATTACATAATGAAATATAAAGCTCAGAATTTAAAGTAAATTTGCAAATGAAAACAGCTGAATTTGTGCAGAGCAAAATATGTACATGTCATTAACCTGCAAGTACACACACTGGGATAGAAACGATCCAGCCAGAAAGACATCAAATAAACAAGTGAACATATTACTGAATGCCTAGTTATCAGCCTACCTTTCAAGACCACTTATTAGATGATTTAAATGAAAAACATTACATGTTCACTAGATTATCTTTTATAAGGGTTTATTTATTAGCATGGGAGAGATTTTACACTTCATTTAATATTTTTCAACATGAAATGCATTATTAACATTTTTCAAAGTATTCTGTACATAATAAAATAAATATTTATATTCAAAGATATTTAATTCAAAGCATAACTCCAGATCATGGAGGAATATGATAGTACAAAAGGGATTCACTGTGGTGCTGCGAGACTCAATACAGCCATCATTGTGGTGCACATAAAACAGATTCTTCTAAAAAGGCAATGCTGAGTCATTTGTTTGTCCATCTCCAGCATTCAATGCACCTCTGCAGCCATGTACACCTGTGGTAGAATTAATGTAACTGCAGCCATCAATGCCTTGCAAAGAATCCTCTTCTTGAGAGACATCATGAAAAGGTACATTATGGGAAAAAAAAAAATGGGACAGTTTTATATCTCCTGTTTCTAATGAGCCGATTGACGAAATTCTACTTGCGTTTATTATATGTCTCAAAAGCATGACTTCAGATATATATTAGATTTTTATGTAGCATTGTTCTAACATAGGTATTTTGAAACAAAATCGGACTTTCTTTGAAACATACCAATTTTTTTCCATATTTTGTTTCTAAAACTCAAATTATGCCAAAGGGACAAGCTTTGTAAAAATCTCACGAGTAGTTTTTAAAAAATTAGCTCTCAAAATTTTACCTCCTCCATGTTAATTGAATTTGGTATATATTTTTAAATCTCTCTTTTTTTAAAAAAAAAAAAAAAAAAAAAAAAAAAAAAAAAAAAAAAAAAAAAAAAAAAAAAAAAAAAAAAAAAAAAAAAACAAAAAAAAAAAAAAAAAAAAAAAAAAAAAAACTTATTTGATTCTTCCTTCACATTTCGAATTTTAGGTTCATTTCAAAGAAAATTCGCCCATTTTTATGATTTATTTTTTATACATTTTTTGAAATTTTTTTTTGGATAAAGTACCTATAAAATTTTTAACATAAAGTAGATGTAGTTCTAGGCGCACCTGCTAAAAATTTTTTTTATTCAAAATTTTCTAATATATATGTGAATTTACATATTGGCACACTTTGAAATTTGGCATATTTGGTATAAGTGATAATAATGCCAAATGTGGTTTATGCAATTCATTAAAATTATTTGAAAATATGAACAATGACTTTTTCCCATTCATGTTCAATGAAAAAAAGGAAAGGAAAACATATTGCTATAAATTAAGAAGTTTGCCAAGTGAATTATTTTTGTTGCAAACTGAAAAAAAATTGGTATGTTATTTCAGAAAAAGTCTGATTTTGTGTCAAAATACATATGTGGGAACAATGCTGTATATAAATCTAATATATATCTTAAGTCACACTTTCGAGACATGAAAAATTTGAATTTTGTTAATCGGCTGAGTAGAACGAGAGATATAGAGTTGTCCCACTTTTTTTTTGCACAGTGTACATGCTGATGGAGGTAGTGCAAGAGATTCATGCTGCTGCAGAATCCATTACTGCCATGTGTATAACAGGCCTGTTCTCTCACACAATGGTTTGACAAGGCTGGCTCAATATTTTTTTGTCAAATTGAACATTCCTTTTGCATTCAACAATTCCGTATTCATACCACTATGGCTTGATTTGTCCAACATGAACACTAATTTCTCTGAAGTTTAATCCACAGTCTGTTAAGTGCCAATTCTTGCTCTGTTAAACTCAGAAACTTAGTTGAACAAATACCATGTTTTTCTAAGTGGCAAAATGAAGCTTTCTATGCAAAGCAGCACCAGGATAACATATATTAGAGTTCTTTAAACAGCCTACATTTTTAGTACGTCTAGGCAATGTTTCTAGTGCACATGTGCATTTATGCTATGTTGCTAATTATTTGTAGTATGTCCAATTGAGTTTTATGCATGCTCAGATTTCAGACCTATTGGATGCTTCATTTATAGTGTTGGATTTTGGGCTGCCAGAAGTGTAATTGTTTCTTGTATTACTAAAATTTTAAAAAAGCACATGTATACTTCACAGTTAATTGAAACAAGTCTAAGCACAGTAAAAATGGTTATTAAAATCAAACTTTTATTTAAAATAATTTATTATTCTTTCATCATTAAATTCCAGAAATTTTAAGAATATTTTTGCTATTAAATAATGATATATATTTTCATGCTCAATATTCAGTAATTCCACACTCTTAAACTTCTCTTCACATCTATTTTGTACAATACCATGTGGAACAATTATCATCTAAGAACTTTTGGTGCATAACTCTATTTAATATTTACTCAGTAACTCAGATTTGTGGTTTCATTTTACCCAGAATTTTAATGTAAAGCATACATAATCATAATAATGCCTTACAAATGAAAATTCACAGCATTTTCATTGCTTTACACTTTTATGGTTTTCACAAGCAATGAGAGACAATGAAAACTGTGTCAAAATACATACTAGAATTCTAGCATTTCCTTAATATTACAGCCTGCTGTATGAATGCCACCAAGATTATGAATAAATTATTAACTTTTGCTCAAAATCACTGCCTCTTAACAACCCATAATCCATCTATCATAAGAAGAGTTCTGAGAAGGCTATGTGTTAATGTATTTCTGTTGTATTTTTTCCTTTTTTCCAAAACTTGTTAACAATGTTTGATTTATCAAGAAATGAGAAAAATACTATATCATTCTTCCAAGAAAGAGGCAATTTACCTTCCATTTGAAGTTGCAAAAATGGTTGTGAAACGAAATGAAAAGTGGCTTATGATGTAGCATGTGATCTACCACTTTTAGTGAGTTATTTATTTCTTAGATAGTGCAACTAAAATGGTGTTTACCAACATGGAAATAAATCCAAAAATACACAAATGAATACACAAATTAAGAATATACAAATGAAAGCAAGCAATTGCATTATCTAATAACCTATTAAATTTCAGTAGCTTTGTAAAATAATAAATTCAGTAGCTTAGTCAAATGTGCAATAAAATTGTGGGAAAAGGAAATGATTAAAAGAACATCCAGTTTTAATGGTACTATTTAAAAAATAAATAACTAAAAGTGGTAGATCGCATACATCATCATCAAAAAGTATATCTACTAGAGACCCAAGAATTAAAGCTCACTTAAACGCTCTTCAAAGGACCATTAAAAAAGATATCAGGGAATTTAAATCTCAACGATGGAGTAACTTCTTAAACCCTCTTGCTACTGAAGACAATTCCCTCTATGACATTGCTCCTAAATTCAAAAAGCCTTTCAAGCAGGTTCCTCCACTTCATGGTTGCAATGGACTTGTTTATTCTGATGAAGATAAAGCCAATACTTTCGCTGACATTCTTGAAGATACCTTTACTCCCATGCTTCCCCATATGATAATGATCATATCACCAAAGTCAATAGCACAGTATATTCTTTCCTTAATAGCCCTGGACCACCTAATTTCACCTTTCTTGCTTCTCCCAGAATTATTGCAGATTTTATTAGCTCTTTAAAAACTAAAAAAGCTGCTGGATTTGATGGCATTTCTTCCAAAGCACTCAAGCATCTTCCAATTAATGCAATTACATGCTTAACTAAAATAATGAACTCAGTTATCAAGCTCTCTTACTTTCCAAAAGTACGGAAACATGCAGTTGTTGTCTTCCCTAAGCCTCATCAAAGTTCTACTTTTCCTCAAAATTATCGGCCTATCAGTTTACTTAGTCAAATTTCTAAAATTGCTGAAAAAAATTATTCTGTTTTATATTAATTGAATCATGCCTCCCAGCTCTTATACTACTGATGAACAATTTGGATTCAAACACCTGCACAGCACCAATCATCAGCTTCTCCGCATTATCAATTACATTACTGATGGATTCAATTGCAAATTTCCTACAGGCGCAATTTTCTTAGATACTGCCAAAGCCTTTGACAGAGTGTGGCACCAAGGACTTATATTCAAACTAATCCAGCTCAATTTTCCGAACCACTTTATTCGACTTATTGCCTCTTACCTCAGAAATCGCACTTTTGCTGTCAAAGTTGGAAACACCCTCTCAACTACTGAAATATTACTGCAGGTGTCCCTCAAGGGCTCTGTTCTCTCTCCTTTTCTTTATGATATTTATACTCAAGACATTCCAAAAGAATCACATATACTATCGCCTTATTTGCCGACGATACCGCATCCTATCTCAAGCTCAACCATCAATACTATAAAAAATTTTCTACAAAACTATTTGGAGCTTCTTGAAAACTGGATGACGCTGTGGAGAATTGCCATTAACACTGACAAAACCAAAGCCATTATTTTCAGAAAAGGACAAACAAACTTCCTTCCGCCTAATCCCATCTTCTTTGACGACGAAATTCAGTGGACGGATCAAGTGAAGTATTGACACACTTGACAAAAAACTCACTTTTCGGCAACATTTACACGAAATTGTCAAGAAATTTAATATCTCAATAGCTACTATGTGTCCTCTCCTTGGCCGACATAGCAATTTGACAATCAACAATAGCAACAAAGCTTATTCTATACAAGTCCATCCTTAGACCTACTTTACTTTACGCCAGTCCAGTATGGGGACACGCCACTAAAACCCACATAAAAAAGATCCAAAATAAAACCCTTCATGAAATTATTAATGCACCCTTGTTCATCCCAAATTCTTATATTCACAGAGATCTTCAAATTGATACTATACAAAATTATATCAAAAAACTTGCAACAAAGTTTTTTTTTTTTTTTTTTTTTTTTTTTTTTTTTTTTTTTTTTTTTTTTTTTTTTTTTTCCTTTCTGTACTATTACATCCAAACAGCTGTATTTAGCTCTTTGCGATGCTCACCTTTTCCTAGAGCAAAACACAAATATCCTTCGGATATTCAACCTAACATTTTGTTAATTATTTGAAGTACCTACTACCTTACTGATCCAACTTTTTTTCACGTTGCTGGTCTATTTTCATTCATTTCATCTTTCTTCGCCGACTGATGGCGGCTAAGTGAAATATCCCATTCTACCATCTTGATTCTTCATTTTTTCCTTTTGTTGTTCCAGACATTCTTTTACCTGATGCAGAGTAAAAGCGCGCGGCTCTCTTTCCATTCGACACAAGCAAAAAGCATATGTTCTGACAATGTTGGGATAGGCAGTTTATTACCCTACTAGTTCCACTAAAGATTTAGGCACTACTGGTCTGGCATATCATCCTGGTCGTTGCTCAATGGTTAAGTTTCCTTTCTGTTTTTCTCTTTTTGTGCATATTTGTCCATTAAAAAAAATTACAAGAATCCTGCTTAGCATATTGTTGCTAGTAATTATTTGATCCTATGTTAGTAATTACTGTAATATACAATAGACACAAGTTTGTAGGATGCAGCATACATGGTCTTTATTAAGATTGTCACTTGTTATGTTACTTTTCATCCACTCACTTGATGAGCTGGATGTGACTGATGTGCGTCATGATCTCTTTTAAGTAGTAGAAGTCAGTAAAAGTTCAGTTTAGGACAATGTTCCCAGCATTCAAAATGTGTTTAAGCCTAAAGGCATGCATGGGAAGTCAACAATGTAATGTAGAGCATCTGCCTCACTTCCCCTTGCCCTGGCAGGCACAGGTAACATTTCTTCTGCGGAACCTAACGTAGTAAGCTGGAAATTTGCCTCAACTAGAGTAAGCTTTTAACAAGAAGTGGTCAGACTTAATTCTTTCCAGACTAACCTTCAGGTAGTTGTCAAATGTGAAACGTCCTGTGTTGAATTCACTCCAGTTGTTCTGCCAGATTTGTATGGAAGTGGAGAGCTTTTTATCTACTTCTTATGAGGCTGGAACTTCTATGCTGATGGTCAGTAATGATGCCGCCAGCTTGGCTAGCTTGTCAACTTGCTCATTCCCTCTTATCCTGGTGTGTCCCTGAACCCAAGTTTGAGTGATAGGGCAGTTGCTCTTGACAACTGCAAAAAATTCCCTTAGTGTGTCTATATGGGGGACCCTGGTGCTCTTTTTATTAATTTCTTGTAAGACACCCTGGCTGTTTGTAAAGAAGTGAAATTAATTGTTTCTTTCTGTTTCTGCCCATGTAGCTCGTTCATGGAGCACGAATGACTCAGCTTGGAAGACAGACTTGTGGGTGCTCAATATGTAGCATTCATGATGACATTCTACACTGTTTCTATATGCTACAAATAACATTTCCACTTGGTTTTTGAGCTGTATGTATACACTGCACAGATGTTCTCCTGAAGCTGATTTTGGTCCAGTTTATATTTGAAGTATTTTAGTATGTAATGTCTGGGTGTTTTTTTAGACTGTTCTGTGCATGTGCTGTTTAATATAATTTGTCATTCGTGTACTACATCCTCCTGATAATAGAGGAATCAAGTTTTTCTATTTGTGCTTTTAGGTCTAGCACCAACAACCATGCTAAGACTTGTAAGGCTGCTGCTAAGGTTGTCGTAAATGCAGATGTCATCTTTAGTACAGCAATTCTTTAGATGTGAGAGTTTTTGGCATATTCAGGCATTGTTTGTCATCCAGACCGGGGCTCCATACAAAATCATACTCTGCTGCGCACAGACGAGTTCTTTTAGGACTTTTCCCCTTAGATTCCAGGTATGACACACTGACTCAGTCAGTTTACATGACTTTATTTGTCTTGTCTAATATATAAGGTATCCTGGCAATGCCCAGGAACTTCTATTTCATTCTTGGTGGGTTGGGCACTTCTTTGGGGGGGTGGAGGAATATGATCAACTGTGTTTTGGCAATGCTGAAATAAGGTTTATACTTATTACTCCATTGTGCTAGTAAGTTTAATGTAGTGTGTGCCATCTTTTCTATAGTGGTCCTGTTACCTCTGTTTATAATAAGAATCAGCGTAGGCCTGTATTGTTGTGGTTTTGCCGAAATCCAAGTTGAGGGGAGTCCTATATTTGAGCCCTGGGATACTCCTTTATAGTAGTTTTTGGTGATGTTAATTGCACTTTGTTTGTAAGTGATCCTCCTGTTTTGAAGATTATCAATAATTTCAAACAGATTTCATATGCAGATTAGATCCCCTGGGATAAGAAAATGCTTTTGGTGCTACATTATAAGCAACCACAGAAATATAGTAGCCATAAAAATGTATACACGAAGTATGAAGTAAACATGTTTATTATGCAATTTCTTAAAAGTTTGTAAATTAAAACTTAGCACCATTTAAACAACACCACCAGAAGAATTAAGAAGTATGTGAATTCTTTGCTTTCTAATACATTCTTCCATAGCTAGATCTCATTAAGTGCTCAATGAGTATTATGTTTCTTATGGTTAAAAAAAAATCCAGATACAATGACGTTTTTTCCATTGCAAAGTTTTGCTACTCAACAGAACAGTTTCTTTCAGAAAATCCTGAAAAATGACTGCCTGTTGGTGACAGACATTTCTAACAATATACTTGAAGAATTCACAATGATGAAATTACAGTATGGTGTCAATTCGTTCTGCTGTACAAGAACTCGGCAATTTTGATAGCTATTTTAAGGTAACTATACATTAAACATACGATTACATAAATTCTAAATCTCAAAATAAAAGCACAGAACAAAAACTACCATTTAATTTTTCCTTGCGCCTTTCTACGAAGGCAAAGCTTAATTTCAGTCATTGTTAAAATATAATAAGCATAAAATGTAATTATATTTCAATTACCATTCTTTCTAAATAGCTAGTTTTTTTTTCAATAATTGACTTATAACTTGATAACTTTTCTACAAATGTAATCTGCACTCTTAGTTTTACTGAATACATTTTATAACTTCTTAAATATGTGTTCTATTTCACATAAAAGCATTTTCCTACAAAGGAGATTACTTTATTTTCTTTGAAAAAAAAGCTAAACAAATTTTTAAAAAAGTTTTATAAATCAACTGAAGTACACAAATCTATTCTCACAATCAAGAAAACGAGAAAATACTTTCATTTCCATAAACATAATTTCACCAAATGTTGTTTCATAAAAACTGAGATTAATTTGAGCTCGCATCAGTGGAAAGGGGTGGAAACAAATAAGCAGACCATTAAAATAATTAGAAGAGCATCTGCAGCAACTGTGAGTAGATAAATAGATGATTCTGTTTAGTTACTTAAAGTTTGCTCACGTTTGAAGCTGTTTACTGTTTCACTGCACTTCTATATGAGTGATTCAAAATTGAAGTGAAATACATTATGTGATTAAATATGGCTGTCAGGATAAAATGGTTCCAGAATTGCTTGATTTAATGACAGAAGCTGATAAATACCAAGACAAATTAATGATATTTAGGTAGCTAAACGATTTTAATGGGGGAGAGGGACAGGCGTTTGAATTTGATCTTGCATGTCAATAACCTGAAAGTAGGATTACAGACCTCACAAATCTGGATAACACTGTAAATTTGACCAATGCCGTGTAGACATAACAGCATCTGCTACATGGAAACATTTAGCACTTTACATTCCACATATCAAATTACTGCTATAACCAAGTATATGTTCCAGATGACCTGGTAAGAATACAAATGTTAATTAAAGTTCACATAAACAAAGAACAGAAATTGAATGATGAGTAAAAGCCCCAAATCTCTTGCACAGTAATAGCTTGCAACGACACATAGGCCTACTGTTATGACCATTCACAAATAAATACTGTGCCTATACATTGAAATGCCTTGTCTGAAAAAGACTACAGTTGGGTGGGTGATAACAATTTTTTATTCAAAAAGTTTTGGTCTACCAGCATGGCCATTTTCTTACACATTACTCTAGCAATTTTGTGATTATATTTTGGCCTTAAAGCATTGTTAACAGTACATTTCACAGTTTTGTTTTTGTGACAAAAAATATCCACAAGTAAGCAAGTGAACATTAAATCATAACACCAGCTTGTATGTGGCTGGTAGTATTTAACAATTTCCTAACAAAATGTGGCTTTAACAGCTTTTGCTCATCCTCACTCTCTCTCAAACTGAAGAAGGCGTATGGTGCAAAATTCCACACCAATATAAACACTATTCACAATGTACATGTACAATTAAAACAGTTTTCACAAGCTCTGAAAAGTGGGAAATATGGCAGACCTGCATATTATTAATGCTACTTTAAGGAAGAACACTTTTTTACCACATATAATTTTTTTTTCTATTTTTATGATTTTACTCTCATTTTTTATATAACTCCATTATATTTGAATAAAATAAACATTTACCTATATTATTCTGAATGAAGTTATCATTGATTTCTGGAAGTATCATTCTGAACAGCTTTGAGTATCTGTCAGATGCAATTAAAAATGAGATTTTTTCAGCGCCTTTCTGCAATAAAAAGATATTTCAATAAAACAGACAATTAAAAATGTCAATTTTGGACTTGGTAAACAATTTGGGATGATTTATCATTAACAAAATCCATACCTTCAAAAAAGAGTATAAAAGGTCATTTTACATTGTGAAGACATTATGTTTTTTGGAGCAGGAAACATGAAAAATCAGATATCAGTATCAGAAGTGGGCACAGCCCGACCTGCCTAACCAAACAAGTTGGTCTTATGGCCATGACAGGCTACACCCATTTCACCAAAGGAAAACATTAAACATAACATATCTAAATGAAAATAATCATGTTTTAATAATAATTACAAACATAAAAGTGAAGAAAATATAGAATCAATACAAACATTTATACAAGAGCAGACACCAAAGGAAAAAAAAAAAAAAAAAAAAACCGCGAACAACAAACAATGGTAACAACAAATTGGTAAAAAAGACCAAATAGTGATGGCAATAAAAAGCCAAAATCATACAGATTCCCAAACAGTGCCAATACACAACTACTGCTGCCACTGTTATCATTAACTAAGAAACTGCTATTTTTTTAGCATCTTGGACTGCACATTTCATTCAAGTGAAGTTTTATTGCTATCTGATTATTTTATGAGGGCCCTTCAACTATTTCTAGTTTAAGACTGTTTTTAATAAATATTCTGGAAAATTTGATGATAAATTCAAGTCCAAAACATGTCTCACTTTATTTTAACATTTTACACATAAAAAGTTTTATTTCTGAGTAACATAAATACCTGGGATGGAATTTTCTAATTTGGAGTACAAAAAAGTATCATTCCAACATATTAGTGGAGTTACACATGTAATATTTAACTATCAAAACGGTGCTTTCAGATTATATGCGCAACCTGAAATGTATTTATAAGGCAACACAATATGTACTCAAAATAGGCAAAAAATATACTTATGTGGTAACCCAGGTTTGCACATGAGCAGCAAACAAGAGCTGATTTCCACCTTGAAACTTGACAGTGATATTTCTGGGATTAGTGCTTGTTTCTGTAGTATTTTTTTTTTTTTTTTTCCTTGTAAGGAATCATAATGGGACTGTTGAGTTTCCTGGCTCATGAAAAAGAGAGTTGCATTTCTTCAGAAATATGGCATCTTGTCCAACAGTAGAAAATGCAAAAATTTGTATTATATGAAGCTGTACTTTGTAAATGATTGAATTTTATAATCAATATTTGTGCAATTCTCTGATTCGTTTTAAAATGAAAACAAATCTCTGTGTACAAGGAAAGAAATGAGAATGAATGCAGTGTCAAGTCTGTAGTCAAGTTACTGCAATTCTCTGATTTCTTTTTTAAGGCTACAACAAATTGATGTGCACATGGAGAAAAAGCACAAAAGAGGTAAGTATTTTATTATGGATGTTTCTTAAATTTTTGGTTTTGTTGGTTGGTTGCTGTTTTTTAATTCTCAGCATGCCACCATATTTTTAAATCGCTGTGGTCTTTCACATCACAGCTTGATAAAAAATTTGTCATCCACAGTTGGTGACTTTTCAGAAAGGGGTGTTTATAATCAGAAAGTACCAAAAAATACTGAAAAAATTTGACTTCAAGAAATATTTAGACAAAAATACAGCTAAATTATTACTTCTGTATCAGGACTGACAAGAACACGATCATCAATGTCTGGATGTTGAGCAAAAACATCAAACATGCAACTGGTACATGTGTTCACAGTCCACTTTCCACCTGCAATACGGGTCTTGCAGAGTAATTTCTTGGCCTGAAATTGTGCAAATAGCAATCATACATCTGACAGTCATTTTGAGTTAATTTACACACAATATATTACTTAGCTGCTAAATAATTCTTGGCTTTAATACAATTTAAATTTTGAACGTATTTTAATAATCAGTTTATTATTTCATGAGTACAACCCTACCCAGTACAACAAAAAGTAGGAGTGATGTTTTAAGGAAAGAACAGAAAACTTGGTTTTATTTTATTTAGGTATTTATTTTTTTGTTTTATTTTTACCACCAAACTCTTCATGGTTGTTAAACATGTATTCTAAATTACTGTAAATCCTAGAAATAATATAATTTTTATTAAAAAATTGTAAAAAGTAATAGTTTAGTTCAGTGACATAAAATGATAAGAAAAAATATTCAAAATAAATTATTACAGCCATATAAAAATTCATCTGTTCTCATTTTTGCAGAGTATAGTATAAAGTCCAAAATCTGGTATGATCTAAAATCCAAACCTCTGCATCACTAGTAACCATTTTTTTAAAGAATTTTTTTTCATGCTGCTTTAAGCTTGTGTATTTGATATTTCACATAATAAAACATGTGAAGGATTCCCAATTCTTAATTTCAATTCAGCACAGACGGTAAGTTGGCAAATCATTATTTATCCTTTTTGGCCTTTTATCATCCTATGACAACACACTTCAGTTTACAAATGACTCACCCAGCAATGAGTTACAATGATTGATACTCAGCCTTTCATCCCTTGATTTCCCTCACTTGGGTCAATCCAAGTTCGCTTGGGGACTAAACACTGAGAGTCCTGCGACAAGCTGACCAGGCTTCAGGGTACGCTTACACACCCCATGGTCCACAATCAAGAAAGCAGATTTCTGGCACTGCAGGCCTTGGCCCAGTAGGGCTGTTAGACCACTGAGTTTAGTTTTTTAAAATTTGTACATAGAAGCACTGAGAAACAAAATTAAGGGTTGGTAAAATCATTAAAATTTAGGGAAGGCACTGGAACAATTTTTAAAACTTAGGGAGAAACTTGGCAGTAGAATTTCGGACTCACAGAGACTGCACACGGTTGCAAACTATCTAGCACTGGCCCTGGTAAGCCTTAGCACACACAGGGAATTTGTTCATGTGAGACTCAGATAAGCCTTAATCATATGCAGGAAATAGGCATAAGTACAACAAATAACAAATATAATTCAAGCTTACCTTTACTACCATGTGACAGAAGCAAAACAAAATTTAGTACAACACATCTTTAGTCATGAATCTCAGGATACATCAGCAATAGTGTATAGCAGACAATAGCTAAGCTTTATAATAATATAGTAATAGCCACAAATTTGAAGATGTACAAATATTGCAAATAAAATGTCAAATTTTCCAACGACTGGAATTTTTAAGCAAATGTGAAACAAGTGGTAATAAATGAAGATGATATAATAGAAGCTTTTCATGGCAAATAGAATGCCTCAATTATTAATCAACAAACGGACAGCGAAATCTGTAGTATTGTTCGAAATCAAGAGATATTGCTATTGGTTGTTGAAAAATGAAAAAAATTTTGACTGACAATTTTTAGTGGGAATTCTTGATGTGGCAATTACAGGACTTGAACAATGGAACTTTGTAACTAAACAAGAAATTATGTCTACCTAACCTATACAATTAAAGAGAAAGTATTAACACAAAAAAATGAAGCAAATTAAAAAACTTACATTAAAATAAATAATGCATTAGTAAAAAGCAAACAAATAAATATTGAGCTTTTGTTTTTCTTCTAGTGAGTAATAAATTATGGAGGTTGCCAGCAGATGAAAAAGAAAGAAGTGCATTTCAGAATTGCAGTATTTTCTCCAACAACAGAAAATGAAAAATTCACATTCTATGAAGGTGTACTCTTAAATGACCAAATTTTATGGAAATGCAATGCAAAAAATTGCAAGCAAAATGTTAGAATACCAGTCGTAAATTTGTTTGAAGATATAAATATCTCATTTACAATAGTTATTAAGAATGGCGTAATTAATTCGCCAGTGGTATTTATACTAAAGTAGATGCAATTGTAGAGACAAGCTACGATTGGTTAATATGAAGTTGTTATATAACACAGAAGGATCTCGAATTCGGAAGAATAGATGAATTTAGGGGGACAGCACCAAATCTAGAATAGTTGATCTTGAGGTCACCAATTATTTTTAAAGCAGCTATTGTAATTTCTTAAACCATTCAAAGATTAATATTTTCAACAACAGAATCTTGTACTGAAAACCTACCACTTTTCATCAAAAACAAACATTATACTCCTGAAACTATTCATTTTAAGACATCAGTTTGCCTGAACATAAGAAATGTCCAAGAATGCAATACAAGATCCACATAATTTAAAAAAAAAAAAAATTCTTATAACTCTGATATTTTTACACACTAAAGATAAAGCAAACCATGTAATGGTGTAAAGTGCAACAAGAATGAAAGATTGAGGCATGATACATACTAGTAATAAAAAAAAACTATAGATGACTAGCAGAAATTTAACATAAGAGCGGAATAAAGAGAACTTAAAGATTAATCAGCAGTTTGTCTATTACCGGGTATAATATGACAAGTACTTACTTTTCAGTATATTCCCCATTTAACGGAATTCACTTAGTCCAATAGAAAACTAATTTCTTAAGCTGTCCTCAAAGAACATTTTCGGTGTCTCCTCAATTCACCTATTTACAGCATTTTTAAACATTTTAACTGAATACTCACAAAGTTTTTTTTTTTTTTTTTTTTTAAATATGGAAAAAGATGAGGAAACAGAATACTCCTTACAGACACTGGACAATTTCTGAAGTTTTCAGAGACTCTTTTCATAAGAAGAAAATGACTTTTTTTGGTCTCTTTCATAGTTGTAAAAACAGAAAAATGCACCTATATCAGTCAAACAACTGAATCGGACTAAACAATATTGCATAGGATCGTTGCATAAACATGCCAAGATATGTTTCTGGCCAATAGTATTGAATATAAATTGGAAGAATTGACCTAAAGCTCAATTCCTAGACTTTTAGAAACATCCTATATGCATAGCATGACGCACTGTGGGCATGCACGAAAGGAATTCAGTAGACAACTGGATAATTACATCCAAGATTGAAACACTGAAAAATTGGAGTGTGACTAGTGTGGCTAAAGAATTAGGGATTTCACACTGTGTAACAAGCTTGCACAACATTCTGAAAAAGAACAGCTGTCTGAAAGTTTAGTACTAGCCATATGCAAGTACAAACTGGTGGTTAGTCCACATGCCAACCAATACATTTAAGTGATAATGGTACCCATCTATCACAGATTGACACAGTCAATCTTTGATATTCATTTATCACATCTGTGTTACCATCTATCACTACCTGTGATACCCATCCATCACAGATTTCCTATAATATAGGGACTAAAAGGATTGTAGAGATCAGTCAAGTACTTTTGGAGTACAAGTGGAGGTCAAGTACTTTTTATGGATAACATTTGATTTAGTCTTTTAGAAGTCTAAACATATGGAAACCTGCAGTCACTTCATCATCAAAAGGCATCAGTATCAATATAGTGGCCTTTGCACCTGGGAAAGCATGATGCCTCGAGAATATTCAGAGATCCACACTTTCCACAGAGGCTCAGTGACCGCTATAATATCAAGATTATTTCTCCTCCAAGATTATTTTTCTGATGTGCTAGGAGCTCTAATATCCTCTTCATGGATGACAACATATCACCTCAATGAATAGAGGCTGTCACTGAGCTGCTGGAGAGTTAAGATTTACTACATGGATTGGCAGCATGTTTTCTAGACCCAAATCTAGCCAAGTGTGTATTTTTTAGAAAATAAATGGCAGCACTGCATCAGCTACTAGCAATGGTTCCTCACCTGCAATCTGCGAGACAAATGTGCTACGATGCCTCAAGAATAGCTTTAATAAGCGCTATTACAAAAAGTGCTATGATGCATCAAGACCCATAATTTACCTCATATTGCATATAAACAGACAGTGCACATCCTGCATTGCAGCCAGAGATGATCATATCTCTTGCTAAAGATAGCTTTTTTTTTGGGGGGGGGGGGTCTTGAACCCAATTTTCAAAACGATTCTTAGCATTTATGTTCATTATTAATTTTTACTGCAGTCTTATAGGTCAATGATGTTGTAATATGCTTTGTATCAAATTATAATAGTGATGCATGAATGCATGACGAAAAACTATTCTAGACTTAAGTTTTGTGTACGATTTATTGCATAAAACATAACATTTTTCTTTATTTTACGCATAACAGGAGATACACTGGATAATCTCTTCCTCTATCTAACCCATGAAAGTAAATGTAGGGAGCTTTTGCCATTAAAGAAATACCAAAAACATAGTTTCATACTACTTCAATGGAAATCTGCTATCCACTCATACAGACCCCCTCCAAAAAAAAAAAACACTGAAATTTATGAAAAACTATAACTTGAACAGTGACATTTGGTTGCAAAACTTTGAACTACTATGCTTCTGAGTACTGTAGGTTTAATTATAACCACTCTGAAGTATAAAGTAAACTTTATTTTCTAGCATCTTTTCTTTTTATATTAATAAAAGATCTAGTATATTTTATATTAGGAAATGTATGGTTAATTTTCAGATTATCCTCCTACAGCAAAATTTGAAATAAAATAATTAAAATTTGTCATTATGCAAAATTACTATCATTCCTTTTTATATTTTGATACTTGAAAACAAGAAACTGCAAATGCTACAACAATAATGTTTAAAATATAATTTCGAAAATTAAATATGAAGTAAAAATAGTTTAAACAAACACAAAATTAGAAATTCCTGAAATAATTATTAAAGCACAAAAAATGCTTGTACAATGAAAATTATTAAATTAAAAATGTAAAACAAAATTACACATATTACATTCTGAAAATGAAAGAATACTGTAAACTAACCATTGTTACACCAACTAAATCCAGTATTACATCATAAGCTTTACCCGAGAAAAAGGGATCTGACATAACTTCTTCAGGAAGATCAAGTTCTTTAACATCTTGTAACTTTACCTTACCTTCTCTACCACTCACTTGTATATTCAAACAATGGCAAGCGAAAACACGCACAGACATGTTCAGCTCAACAAAATAATGCTAACCAAAAACCTAAAATGGGAAAAAAATATTATAGCAAGAAAGAAATGCTTCTGAAAAACATAATAAAAATAATGAAAGAGAGACAATTTGATAAAATTAAGGTTTTTGAAAAATTAATTCCTCACAAATTTTCCATCTGCAAAATATTACACTAGGTGTCCAACTTCTACACAGTCAAACCTCTATTTAATGAACACTCTATTTTACAGATTCCTCTATTTAGCAAAATTTTTTGTGCAATTCTGCCCAAGGTGTGAATTCCCTTGTATGTAAAACTCAAAATAGTGTAGTACAATTGTAGACACATTAGGCACTTTTTGGAAGCAGGAGTCATGAAAAATGGGCAATGCCCTCGCCGAGAATTGAACCATGGACCTCTGGAATATGCACCCAGCGTGCTGACCACTACACTATGAAGGCATGCGAAGAAGACAGGAGAAATATCCTATATACTCCCCCTTTCAAAGGGCGACTGGGGCCTAGGGGACAAAATTGCCAAATCCTGGTTGTGGAGAATCATTATCCACCACCCTTTTAGTTCGGGCGTTATCATCATCCCTCTCAAGTACGCGACGAGCATGCTGGCCATTACACCTCGAAGGCATGCTAAGAAGGCAGGAAAAATACCTCATAAGCTCTTTTCAGATACTGCGTATGATTCGTCCTGGTGGTGAAGAGTCATCATTCACCACCTTTTTGTTCGGGCACCACTGTAGAGACATTAGGTACTTTAGAAGCAGGAGTGATGAAAAATGAGCAAATGCCCTCACCGGGAATCAAACCACGGATCTCTGGAATATGCGCAAAGCGTGCTGACCACTACACGACAAAGGCATACAAAGAAGGTGGGAGAAATACCTTATATACTCCCCCTTTTAAAGAGCAACTGGGGTTTTAGGGGACCCAATCGCCAAATCCCGGTGGTGAAGAGTCATCATTCACCATAGTTTTGTTCGGGTACCACTGTAGAGACATTAGCTTTAGAAGCAGGAGTGATAACAAATGACCAACGGAATCAAACCACGGACCTCTGGAATATGCGCAAAGTTTGCAGACCACTACACCAGGAAGGGCTGCTAAGAAGGTGGGAGAAATGCCTTATATACTCCCACTTTTAAAGAGCGACTGGGGTTTAGGGGACCCTATTGCCAAATCCTGGGTGTGGAGAAACATCATCCACCACCTGTTTAGTTTGGGTGCCACTGTAGAGATATTAGGTATTTTTTTAAAGCAGGAGTGATGAAAAATGAGCAATGCCCTCGCCGGGAATCGAACCACGAACCTTGGAATATGCAACCAACATGCTGACCACTACACTACGAAGGCATGCGAAGAAGGTGGGAGAATACCCTATATACTCCCCCTTTCAAAGGGCGACTCGGTCACCTAATCCTGGGTGAGGAGAATCATCATCCACCACTTTTTAGTTTGGGCACCACCACAGGGTTACTAGGATTTTTTGGAAGCTGGAGATATGAAAAATAAGCAACGCCCTCGCCGGGAATCAAACCACGGACCTCTGGGGTGGAGCGTGCTGACCACTACACTAAGAAGGCAGGAGAAATACCTTACACACTCTTTATTTAACAAGTGTTTCTCCCGCCTTTGAAAATGAAAAAATTTAAATAATGAAAAACATTATTTAACAAAGTTTTTGAATGGATGATTTTTCTTTCTGCTTTAAAATTATTTATTTCTTTCCCGTGACAGGTATGTGCCTGCAGCTATGGTCTTAAAGAAAATGGCTTGTTATCTGCTGTCACATTCCATTCTGCATGAAGGCTGAAGTGGAAGGTAGGGAATTCTGGAAAAAGAACACATTTACCCACTCTATTGTTAAAAATTCTCTAACCAATCCTATTTTGCAAACCAGTTTAAGGTTAAGCAACAGCCGCACATTATTTATTATTTCTGCATTTTGTGTTTTTAATATTGCAAATCTTTTTAAAAATTAGTTGTGTATGAATAATAACAAAGGCAGAAAGAAAGTGTCTAACACGTAAAAACAGTTTGCAGTCCTGAAAAATTGAGACAAAAATTTTATCAGGTTTTGATTCTACCGATCCACATGCCAAATGTGAGAAAATGTGTACACTATGAAGACACTGATGAAGCAACATTAAAACTGCTTTGCACAGTGAAGGAAAATAATTTACCAGTATCAGGGCCATTGATGCTGGGAAAAGTTAGTTTGTCAGAGCCTTAGGACAAAAGATATTTCATGCAAGAAATGAGTGGCTGAAGAAATTTAAAAAAAAAAAAAAAAAAAAAAAGACATGCAGTAATCTTAAAAATCATATGCGGCAAAAACAAAGATGTTAAATGAAGATGACTGTGTAATAGAAAGATCCAGAACTATACGAAATTATAGAAATGTGCAAGCCAAAAGAAATCTTCAACACTGACTAATGATTTTACTGCTTGCAATGTTGAAAAATGTAAACGTGTTGCATTGACGGTAATGCAAAAAGTGCAAATTCTGCAAAAGATGGAGATAGGTGCATTTTATAGCAGAATCGTATGGAATTGTGATACAATTGTGTATGATACACGGAAAAATAAAGAAAAACTGTTGAAATTTTATAGCAACAGTGATTCTAACACCGGAAATCTTTGCATGAGGCGAAATCGGCAAACCTCTATGCTGTGTATATATAATACAATGAATAATATAATCAATTTATATATATAATAATAATTTAATGCATATAATAAGTTATTGCAATAATGGATATAATAATTTAATTAAATGTATCTAATACACCTTATTTATTTTGCACTTTTAATCTGAATATTATGATTTATCTTTTCTGTCCTAAAATCCACACAACCTCTGGTCCCAAGCTTTGGGGATTTCTGGACTTCTACTGTACTACTACTACTAGTGTGACACTTTTAAAAATAATTTTTAGCCCAAACAGCCTTAGCCCAGAAGGGCTACTAATTTCATTTTGGCATTTTGTGGCGGTTCAATTTTCAAATTGTTGCCATCAAATATTATCGCCATGTATTATATGTAAAGAAATTAAATAATGAAAAATCTGCATAAAAGTATAAATGTTTCTCACACTATGATAAAACAACGGTATCTAGAACCCATCAAATTTTGAATAACATAATTCTCCACCTGAATATAGACATCTGGAAGCCCAATTTGGAACTGGGAATTTGTTTTATTCATTTCATATTTTGTAAAGCATTTATGAGTTTTTGATTATAAAACTCAACGATTTCAAAGCAAGCAATGGTATCACTCACTATACAGGATAAAAAAAGAAAAAGAGAAAAAAAAATATTAAAAATACAAAATTGATTTATGGCAATAAAATAAGAAAAAGTTCTCCCATTTATGAAGAATTCAGAAAAACTTTTGTCAGTTTGGCATATTCTATGAAAACATATTAGTGAATTGATGGTACCTTATTATGGGCATCAATCATTCAGCTAAAATCCGTCTAGTGCAACAAAAATGGGTCTGGGTAGTGATTATGTTTTCATGCATGATAATGACCCCAAGAATACAGCCCTAAATTTACAGTTCTGCCTGTAATACCCCAAAGTTTAAGCAATTTCCTACTCAGTCACCCAACCTCAATACCATTAACATATGGGAAACACTTGATAAAAATATTAGATCCAGGTGCATTTCTAATAAAAATGACTTAATAACTGCTCTTAAACAAGAATATGAGTCCATATCTAGCTCAGTAACAGCTAATTTGATCAAATCATTGCCAAAGAGACTAGAAGCCTTTATTCATACTGAAGCATATCTTACAAGGCATTAATTTAAATTTATATCTATGAAAATATTCAGCATTATGGTATAATGTACAAATACTCTTTACACAGGATTCTTTTTTGTATATTTTATTTTTATTTATGCATGCATTTACTTCATGCAAATTTCACATGGAACTATTTAAGTATATTTCATTATACATATTTAATTACTTTTTGTGGAATTTAAATTTACAGTTTTTATCAACAAAGCATTTTTAAATCGTAACACTCACTGTATATAATCCTACTGGATTACGATTATGTCCAAGGTATAGGATCATGTAAAGCAAGCTGCAAAAATATATTATCTCACTGCAAACTATTTTATGTTTTTACAAAATATCAAAATTTATTTTTAACATTAAAAATGAGAAGTGACAGTAGCTGAAAAGAAAGTTGCTTTCTATTTAAATTTCTCAGAATTGCAGTAGCTAGAAGTAACACATAAGAATTTCTTACTCTAAAATTATAAACCATATTACAATACCGGTAATACGATTTATAAAATATAAGCAAAAATAAGCATTATAATTATAAGCAAAATAGACACTTGTTTAATTAAAAATACAAGATTCATAAAACATTTTAATAGTAGAATCACCGATTCAAAAAAAAAAAAAAAAAATTACAGATCTGCGATTGTTATCCAATCTTTAAACATGGTTTTTGATACATAATATAGATGTGGATACTTACGCGATTTTCAATTTAAATTCCCTTTGTAAACAGAACAAGAACTGCAGTACAAACACTTGCTGACAAAGGATAAAAATGACATACATTTTCTACTCCGTTTAGACATCTGACTACAAGGGGTTGCTATCCCCGCAACTTTCCTCAATATCGCCAATCTGATGCAGCAGGAGTAAAACTAACGCCAATTCTTGCACAGGAGCAGTAGCTGTTTGCTTTTGCCGAGAATACCACAATTTCATGAATTTTTATGCAAGGATCATGAGTACCTCGATAATCTTTTATCAGTCTATCTTTCATAAGTACATCAACTGATGAGTATTTATGCAACTAATAATTTCAAGCAAAGCATAAATCATTTACAAAAATTTGTTTTAACAAATTCTCATAAGCAATTCATTCAATCCATAGTTGCATGATATTTAATTTTCTGGCAAACACTTTAATGTTAAGAAAAAAGAAGAGAAGAAGAAGGGGAAAAAATCTGAAATCTTCCGTTAACATTTCAAAGAGTTTACTATTAAAAACTCTTA